TGGTGGCCAGCACGTTTTTGGTAAGGAATGCTTGAGAAGCGTGTTCGAATCCCGAGGCCCGGGATTCAATATCTGTCCACTTTGTAGGACGCCGTGGTTTAAAGCGAGTTGTCCTACAACCAGGCGACCTCTTGCCGCAATGCCCGCTCAACAGTCAGTCCAAGATATTAAGGAAGAAATACTTGTGAGTAGGTTATCCCATACGGATCGTGTGTCGGCAGGCGAATTGATCTAGACTTTCGATTACGACGTGCCGCTTGATATGAAGGTTTTGCGTCATGCACAGCTTCTTGAGCACACTCAGTATATCCAACACTGCGAGCGTATATACTCGTCACCGCGGATCAGAAACATGTTGGATGAGTTGCGGAGCAACCCGCCAGTTGAAACGCCAGATGACAGCCACTTTTGGTTTCCGTCCAAGGAGCCGAACATGTCTCCGATGCAAAGCAGGTCAGGCCGTGAGTTCCTCGTAGAGCCGCCAAATCCCGACCCGTTCACGTTCCACGACTTCCATCTCACATCAGAAGAGAGCTTGCTCCATGTAGTCATTTATGCGATGAGCGACTGGATAGCGGAGCGCATGCGCATGATGCTTCGTGAAGAGGACCATGTTAGAGCGTTCCTAATGGCGACGAAGACTACGGACGTAATCTTGGAAGAGTTTATGGCGCGATGGATCTGCATCTTTGGTAGCAAATGTGTGGACTTTGCTCGTCTCATGGCGGCTATATTTCTGCCTATGGAAGCGATGCTGAAGAGATGTCGGGAATTCAAAGATGCGGGTCGCGTGTAAAGGCAGGTGCATAGTCGGGGCGTAAGCGGCCTACCCTGGGAGTTGTATTAGTTGAACGGAAATTAGGAAGCATGTGGTAGATACGTGCTACCTGCTTTGGCGGTAAAAATGACAGAGGTAGATACGATGCTGAGCGATCAAGTCTTATGCTCGAGCTACTCCCTTGCGAAATGCACGCCCCACCGCCAAGCCCTCTATCCCCTTCCGTCCTCCCTGCGTCCCCACAAAATACCCGTCTTGTACCTCGGTGAAATTCCCCGAAGACCAGCATATTACCATTACCAAATTCCGCATCTTTCCACCACAACCGCATCCTTTCACAATTAGATCACGCGCTTGCCGATCCGTTGAATGGAACTTCACGCCGAAGTTGCCTAGAAAGGTAGGTGAGGGGATAGCAAGGGGATGGGGGTGTGAGTTACTGAGGAAGATGCTCCGTGGCCAATGAGCGGGGGGTATGGGGGATGCTGGAATGGGGTTAGTGTCGTAGAAGGTAAGATGTGGCATATGGGGTTTTGGGTGTTGTTGGTAGCCATATGAATGTACTCTTGCGTGTATATGAGACTTGCAATGTGTTGAGATCATGGCCGTGATCGCAGGCCTGCGTGTGTTCTGCGCAAAGACGTCACGTGGTGAGATTTCGCCTAGGTGCACGGTATCACGAGGGCGCCTCGATTGCTTCACCGATGAAAGGTATGCGCAATGCAAGACAAAGATGATTCTCAGATGCAAATATATGTATACTACTATTACAACGATGGGAACTACATGCGATGCGATAATATGTGATGCAGGGGTATTGTGTTGCCAAAACGCCAAATGGACTGTGCTGGGCCGGGGCCGAATGATGTGATGCGAACGCCCAAAACTACCGATGATATGCCGGGGGGTATCTTACTACAAGATGATCGAGAACATGCGGAGAAGAAAAGGAAATAGTCGCTACACAATGTGCGATAATGCGCCACTGGTCTGTCTGTTGCCGGGTCTGCCGGGACCGCATTGGCCAGGTGCAGTGGCTATGCGTGGCTTGAACGAGATGCGAGATGCAATGCTCATGAATGAACACATCAACGACGCGACCGTCTCCGGCCACTCGACTCGCCACTCCGATTGCTTGGTCTAGCTGAGGCCTGCGAGCTGCTTACGCAATCCCAATTGAAAGGTATCTGCGATGTCGGGATAGTAACGCCTTCATACCTTCGCAGCCTCTCTCGTCGCGGAGGTGGGGAGGGTTGCGCGAATGCTTCCTGTCGGACTTCCTCAAGCGCCTGGTTGGTAGCGGCGAGTACCGCGAACCGTCTGTCAGGTACGCGACGAGCAGCTGTGTTTGGTGTACGAGAGCGCGCTTGGCGCGGAGAAGAAGCTGACTGGTCGTGCTGACGGGAACGGTGGTGGCGGTTCTGAGACCGTGATGACTCTGGACTTGTCTGAGATGCAGTCGAGGAGCGATGCTGGCGGGATGAGCGGTTGCTACGGGGCGAAGAATCCAGGGTCTGGTAGCTGCGATGTTCGCGCTTAGGTGTCTTTGGCGGGGAGGGCGCAAAGAGTGACCACCCCCGAGAAGGTTCTGGTCGGACGTTCTTCTTCGATTTTGAATGTCTTACAGGGTCGCGCTTTGCTCCGCGCCCGCGCAGAGTGCTTTGCGACGTTTGCTTTGGGTGCTGCCGCCGACGGTGTTGACTTCGGTGGGGGCGTGGGTTCAGCAGAGCCTCTTGTGATGAGTTGACGCTATTTGGCTCAGCTGCGCGGCGATACACCTGCGGCACTTCGACGTCCAGTGTAGAGCGGCGTCTCTCGCGAGTTCGATATGCATCTTCGTACTGGTGTTGCGATCGCGGACGGTGCTCCTCCCTTTCTCTTTCGTGGCGCGGCGACCGCGGAGATCGCGGGGTAGAGTCACCAGATCTTCTTCTTCTGCTCGAGTCTTTGGAACTGCGCTTCTCCGAATATTCTGCAGCGACGGGCCTTCCTTCTCCATGAAGCGCGCTATCCGCCGGTCGGTCCCGCCTCTTCTTCTCGTCCGACGACGACGAGTCCTTACGCTTTTTGTTGCCTGGAAAGCCAAAGTTGAAAGACCAACACATGGCGATCAAGATGCAAGTCTCGGATCGCTATGCGCCTAAGGTTCAAGTCCAGTATCCAGGTTCTGAAGAGGTGATGACTGCATGCATGCAGATGCCGAAGTTCGGAAAGCTAAATTCGACGATGGGGGACGCGGGTGATACTTAAGACGCGCGACACAAGCCAATAGACAGGAACAATCTAGCGTTTCAAGGGAAGGAGACTTGAGAGAAGTGGATTGAGAATTATGATATCATGTGAAGACAAAGAGTGTTCCGGCCGGGCAAGGGAGCAAGTGCACCGCAGTCGCGGCGTGGAGGCCAAATTCCAATAGACGCATGGCCATAAGCTAAATCAAGAAAGGATTCAGTCAAAGTACCTTGTATCGAGGGTTTGCGCTCCAATCAGGGCACAGCCCACTTGATGGTGTGCGAGAAAGTGACTGATTCGTAAGTTTGCACACAGTGGCTTACTGGGCCACATGACACCTCGGGCTCCAGCTGATCGCCTCATTGTCTGGCGCACTGCAGATGTCGGTCTGCAGTGAAATGGAGTGTAGAACACTGGAACACCAGCGCAGGGCCGGCTGTCAGTCTTATAAGCTGCAGCGATCTGCCCGCGACGTTTATGCTTCTTTGTGTGCGGCTTCTGTGCGTACCTGCGTCGCTGCTACGTGGCACCTGTGCTGTACAGAAGAGCAGCGGGACGGTTGCGGGACGATCCTGGGTGCAGAGTTCGGCCATGCTGCGAGGGTGATGGGCATTGCTAGCTGCAGCATGGTGCATGATGGTGCAGGTTAGCTGCATGATGATGACCGCCTGACCAGCCGAGCGCTGCAACATGTTGGGTTCCTTATCCTTATCGGCCCATCAGCGACGTCATTGGTGCAAGAGTGCCCCACCGCCCCAAGCGAGCTGTGAATGCTGGCTGCGATGCCTCGCAAGGTTTCAGCCATTCCTCATCATCGCCTCCAAGGGTTGCACGGCCGCGGGAGTGTGCTGTTCCTGCTTTTGCACGTCCTTAGCACAGACGGCGTTCGCGACAAACACGCTCCGCCTCGACGCCTTGCTGCAAGCAGTTCGCGCGCGTCGCGGAGCCTTGGTAGGTCCGAGGTAGCTGTCCAATAGTCGCGCGCAGATGCCTTTTCCCAACCAAGTCGTGGCGTTTCCAATGAATCGAGGAACCATTCGGAAGCAAGGCAGAGCAATCTATATTGCAATTGCCGTAGCAGACACCATCAGAACGATATCGGCGGCGCCGGAGTATTGAGAGCAGCCTGGGTTAGAACATGTCGCATGCTATACGATGACTCATCCAATGAAGAGCTGGGCCTGAGCTGGAGATGATCGACCCTCAAGAGGTGGGGATGCGGTAGAACCCGAGATCAAGTGCTCTCGACTCGTTCCGATCGCACTTGCACGAGTCCTGTCAGTTCGGTGTCGGGCTGTTGCATGGCGACTTGGCGAGAAGTCGCGTTGATGATACGTTGCGTCATACATGCGAGAGACTGGAGAGATAATCTGAGAACATCGCGCATGGAATGCGATATGAGGAAAGAGCGCGAGAAGATGTCGGAACCATTCCGATGGCCTGCCGAAGGCATGCACCCACGCTGTGCAATCACGCGAATCCACCCTCGTGCCGCGCGCGCATCTTGCGGAAGCTTCATAAGCTACGGTGCACTGATGAGCGCAAAGAAGTCGGACGGTCAGAAATATTATATGCAGGCGGAAAGAATGGATGGTCGAGACAGAAGCTGAAGCCCCAGGCAGTGCAATGGCTCAGCCCCAATGTTGTCGAGACTCAATAGCCCTGCCACGCCGCCTGCGCGCTCCTCAACCTTCCTATTCTTGAACAATTCAGCTTGCTGCATTGAATCTGCCTCTTCAGCTAACAGCGAACATCCACATCAATGAACAGCTTACGAACGCAAGCGCGGGCGCGATTTCTGTCAGAACAGAAGTTCAAGTATGGTGCCGAATTACACGATGCTAAAATTTCGCTGTTGACCGTGGCGCAATATACGAAAGTCGAGACAACTGTTAAACTAACAGATATTCATTGGTCCCAGACTTCTGAGATCTGTGACCAGATCAATACCACTATCCCCAAGAACGGCGACGCGACAGCAACAGCATCAATGCGGCTGATAAGCTTTGAGCGCGATTTTGACGGAGTCCTTTATATCGACCAGCGAACTTTCCTGGACATCTTTGACGACTTCGGGTATGATCCGTACTGGCTTAGCATGATACTGTCTTCGACGTACGGGTTCTTCTCTCGTATGAAGGACGGTGGCACGCAGTATACTTGCTACCTACATACCGTGTCGTATACGATGCTATGGACTTACGACTCTCATGAGATGACAACCAAAGCCGTGCTCATTCCCCGAGAACGTTCCCAATATCCTCAGCGGATCTTTAAGAGTGTGATAGACACCATCATCTACCACAAGGATCTTGTGAGCGACGCGCGGTTCTGTCCTCTCGTGTGTGCCATACAGATGGTCCGTTGGATCGAAGGCACTGCTTTCGAAAACTTGGCCCGCATTCGATCCATAGAGATTACCACTGGCCATGGCGCATGGCATGGTGTGCAGCACGAATCTCCTCCAAGTACGGATGAGCTAATGAAGGACTCTAAGCGGCTAGGGTTCGTACTTACAGATCTCGCAAATATCTCCCGGCACGCTTGCATTGTGAGAGCAGTCCTCGACGACCTTGCATCAGCCCAGCCATTGTCATCTCGGCAATCGGCGCTTGCGCAATCCTCGAACACTACCAGCGTTCTAAGCCCCTTCGATGACATTGTCGATGCTGCATCAATGTTGGGAGGCCAGACGAAATCGGGCGAACTGCAGGCGGGCTACCTCCAAGAGCGAGGCCGCACACAACAGGCTGTAGTACGTTGACACAAAAGATCCAGGACGTCATACCACCAGCTGACCATGAACTTCAGATCTTCAATCTACTCACACGCGAAGATGCGAAGGTTAGCAAGGAAATTGCACTAGCAGCACGAAAAGATAGTTACTCGATGAAGACTATCGCGATCATGACCATGATCTTCCTGCCTCCTACCTTCTTCGCTACTCTTTTCGCTATGCCTTTACTCAAGTGGGACGGACCAAAGGTCATACATCCAAGCTTTGGCATCTATTGGGCTGCCTCCCTACCAACCACTGCGGCAGTACTTCTGGTCTGGCATTGGATGTCTTCCGAGGAGACCATCTTCGCTAAGGGGTGGGCGTACATCAAATCCGGAAGGCTCAAGAGCGACGAGAATGTTGAATTAGGGAACCGTGCAAGGCTCCCAATGAGTAGGGAGCGTCTCTTTGGACTTGATTAAGGTACAGGTCGAAGCAATAGGGAGTGGGATACTTGCAGCATTGGTGTATCGACATCCATCAGTGAGGAAGTTCCGTTCGGCTCTTCCGCATATCTCCGCGTCTTTATCTCCGGGTGGGGCACCCCGCTGTCGTCATCTCGCGACAACGACGGCAGGCGTAAAGCTCTCCATCAATGAACCTTACTTTGTACTACCGCACAACTCAGACAAAACGCCAAGATGCCTCTCATCGCGCAGAACCCCAAAGACCGAGTCATCCTCGGGTTGATGACATTTGGTAAGCTGTGCAGATCGACAACCCAACACCATGATTAATGCATCCCAGGTCCCGACGAGACCAGTGGCGCACGCATCACAGAATTCGACGAATTCACCAAGCATCTCGACTACTTCCAGTCCCAGGGCTACGATGAGATCGACACGGCGCGCATGTACGTTGGCGGCAAGCAGGAGGCATGGACGCGGCAAGCGGGATGGAAGGACCGCGGCTTTACTCTCGCCACCAAAGTGTATCCTTACGAGGCTGGCGTTCACAAGCCCGACAGGCTGAAGGAGCATTTCGAAACTAGTCTCAAAGAGCTGGGGGCGGACTGCGTGGATATCTTCTACCTGCATGCGCCGGACCATTCCGTGCCGTTCGAGGAGACACTCGGTGCTGTGAATGAGCTGCACAAGGAGGGAAAGTTCGTTAATCTGGGTCTCTCCAACTTCGCTGCGTGGGAGGTTGCGGAGGTGTACAACATCTGCAAGGAGCGTGGTTGGGTGAAGCCGACCATCTACCAAGCGATGTACAATGCGATCAGTAAGTATCCATCTTTGACGTGGGGGGCATCGTCTAACCGTGCAAGCTCGCGCCATCGAACCCGAGCTCATCCCAGCTTGCCGCAAGTACGGCATCGACATCGTCATCTACAACCCGCTAGCCGGCGGTCTCTTCTCCGGGAAGATCAAATCCAAAGACATCAAGCCCGACGAAGGTCGTTTCGGCACCAAAGCAGACCGCGTAGGAAGCATGTACCGTGACCGATACTTCAAAGACGCCACTTTCCAGGCTCTGAAGATCGCTGAAGATGCTGCCCAGAAGCACAACCTGACGCTGCTTGAGATTGCGCTGCGATGGTGCGTTCACCACTCTGAACTGAAGACCAGAGTCAAGGGCGGAAACGACGGTGTGATTATTGGTGTTAGCAGTTTAAAGCAGTTGGAAGGTAATCTTGCGGATTTGGAAAAGGGCCCGCTGCCTGATGATGTGGTGAAGGCGTTGGATGAGGCTTGGATGGCTGCAAAGGCTACGGCGCCGACTTACTTCCGATAGATGATTGTCAATATTTCGCTAGACTACCCAACCTTCGTTCCCAGCTTGCCTTGAGCATTGACCGTGCTTGATTCATGAGCTAGACGACTAGAATCGAATCAGAATCCCACGCCGGTCAACTACACCACATCAACACTCCCCCATCTGCATACTGGACTACCATGTCGCCATTAAGGTCTGTTGTCAGACCACGAGCCACCAGCAGCCGTCACCAACGTCTTCAATTGAGAGACAAACGCATCCCACACGTTCTCGTTGTGCTGGGCAATTCCATCATGCCACTGTGGGTAATTCTCCCCTTCCGACACGCCATCAACATCCACCCCATAGTCCTGATGCGGCAGACCATCCAACCCTGTACAGATAACGTGGAAGGAGACGTCATATACAGGCCCGCCACTTGTTGAGTAACCCTTTCCCCTGAACTTCAGCCCGCATGCGATGAAGCGAATGGTGTAGCCTTTGGCGAACGGCGAGATCTCAATGCTTGCTAACGGTATGCGTTAGCTCAGATAATGTGTTCTGGGGTGTTGTATTGAGCCACTTACAATGTTCGCTCAACTTCAACTGCCAGTGTGGTTCCTTCGGTCCCTGTTCATGCATGCGGGTGAAATCACCATCTTCGTCGTCGAAACTTACACCTTTAAACCGCGGCCATCGTGAGTGGTAGACTTTGGCGTCATCTAAAATGAGGTATTCGTACTTTCCTGCGTCTTGGCGGCAGCAGAGGAAGGTCGCTTGGTTCAGTGTCAGTGTTCATATACGTCGGTTATCTCGGAAGAACGTACCACGATCTTCATCGTCAATCTTGCTCTCGCTTTGGGCTGCGTGTGCGGGCATCTCCATCGTCACCTTAGCTTTTCCTTTCGGCTCAGTCCTGTCTTCAGCTGCTTTGTAGCTGTTAGCGACAACTCTTCCGTTCTCTCATAAAGTATTCACTTACCGTTGACAGCATCTCCACTGGCCTCGCTACCGGTTGCTCGCGACGATGGTTTCATGCCTTCCTCAGAATCATCCAGGTCTTGGAGCCCTTGACGCTGAGCGGACTCCCTCGATGCTACGTGATCCATGAGGTCTTGATCTCGCTCGGTGAATGAGTTTACCTGGGTCCGAACTCCAGGACCATCGGCCGGCTTGTAAAGAATCTCAATGCCATCCGACAGTACTGCTTCGACCAGGAGCACACAGTGTACGCGAATGCCGGCCCTGTCTGCCATGTTCACGGTTGGACCGGAAAGTGTGCGAGATCTTTCCCAAGTAGAGTCCCACAAGTAGCTGAAGCCCGTCGTGCGTTCAAGGGCGTCTGGGCGCTTCATGACTATCGAGGTATGGCCGGGGATGCTTGCGAAATTTTCTGCGATGCAAATCCCGGGCCATCGGGTGGTGTAGTACATCTCCGGGTCCTGGCTTGTGATGGTCTCGAGGTCTTTGATGGCATCTTTGAGCTTGATGAAGGCGTTTCGCGTTTGGGCCATCGTGTCTTGCTATCTCTTGGTGCTGAGCGAGCTTTTGGTGGGTGTCATACGATGAGGTTAGGCGTCATTATATGATGAGTCTTGTAGTAAGTTTGATATCAGCCTACTTGCGTCAGGTCAAGCTGACTACGGCAATCGATCAGTTTAGTCACAGCAAGCGGCCTTCAAACATCGCGACATCAGCACACGATGCGCCCCATACATTTTCGGTCCCAGTCGTACCACCCTAGGCCTCAATACCGGAATGCAGAAAAACCGTCACGTAATCCACGCTTTCGAACTTGTGCAGCCTGGATTCTTTCTAGTCGGTACATGCATGCAAGTGACTACTCACATTCGCCTCAAAGCAAGTGCTGTGCCGCAAATGCGAGAAACATCAAGCTATGCATTCATGAACCCCAAATTGCAACGATACATGAACATCTGGTTATCACAGCCTCTTACAAATAAGGTTCCGAAGCCTGAGTGATGCCATAACCCTGGCTGGTATCATGCGTCCTCCTCCCTCTTGATCTTCTTCCTTTTGCTCTTTGTTTTGACTGGGGCTGACGGTTTCAAGATTAGCGGTGATTCTCGTTGAAGGATTCAGAGGTTTGACTTACTTTCATCCGGCAAACTCTCATTCTCGTCCTCATCCTCATCCTCATTCTCCGATTCAAGCAAATCCCTAGGAATTGGCCTGTCAAAGATCCTGTCGGCTGACGCCAACCCCGCCCAAGAGGCTTTGGCCAGGTCGAAGATCTTCCGGTATTTGCCTTCCAACGGGGACACCTGCAGTCTTACCGCGCGGCGTTCCTCCGCTTCAATCAAGATCGTGAAGCTTTCCTCCAACTCATCCTCCATAATCAGGAGGCCGTGAAGTTCGATTCCATGTTTCCAGGCCGCATTTACTAGAGGGGATGGCGTGTTCTTGTTGTAGGAGTCCCAGACCACGCTGATGTTTCCGAATGGATCTAAGTCCTCGCGCAAGATGGTGTAGTAGACGGAATACTCGAGGTTGGCGGCTTTGGTGTAAATGCCGGTAACGCCCAACTTGTGGTACCAATCTTCATCATCTTTACCAAAAACGGATATGAACTCATCGACGGAGTGTAGAACGTCATGCTTCACTCTTTTCAAAGCATCTCGCTTTCTTGGTACCGTTGCTCTCAAGAAGCGCTCCATGTCAAAGTGGTTGATAGCTCGTTGCAAAGACTAAGGGCATTTCTGCTATAAATCAGATCTTGCAATAAGTTTGATGATAGCACACAAGTATCGTCCTGATTGATCTTTGTTCTAATCACGCCCAACCTTCTAGCAAGCCGTCACGACGTATCGTAGGAGCCAACTACCCGTGGTCTGAGATCTGGAGCAATGCGCCACAGCGACGACGCCGTGCCGATATCTTACTCCAAGAGCTGCGGTAGCGACGTGGCTTCTTTAGTAGACTGGTCGCTAACACGTTGACTCCGTCTTACCAAAAAGCCTGCTGTTCAGCACTGAACTCCGTCAACGCAACTGGCTTTGCAAAGCCATGCGACTTATCTATTGTGCTTTCAACAAATTTTGGCGTTCGTGGGTGGCAAGCGCAAATATCAACACCTGGCCTGGAGCTGTTCGCGCCGTGTTCGGGTGATGAAGACTTGACCATAGCAGCAGTGTATACCTTCAGGGTCTATTCCGGGTTAACGCACAACTCATCAAAAAAAATTGTCTTCATCAACGCGCATCCTTCCTCCATATAGCATCGCAAGTGTTCTCGTTGTCTACTGTACTCTACTCACTACCTCCATCGCCACCTTCCAAAGCAGCTTCCCCACCATCCTCCTCCTCACCGCTCTCCTCACCTTCCTCGTCAATCTCCTCCTTGTCTTCTGCGTCAATGTCATCAAGCTCTCCGTCACTCTGCGTGCACTTCCATATACGTCCTTCCCCAATAATCTCCTCCAGCTTATCCATAAACCTCGGAAACATGACCACATTGTGTTTCGCATAGTCTTTGTTGTGCATACCCTGCGCCCTACCATTGTACCTTCCTTCCCACGTGTCGTGCTTGCACGGAGCATGCCAACGATCAAAGGGTAGATGCAGGTGAAACTCTTTCCACTTGATTGTTGTTCTGCTGCTCTTCGTGCTCTTACCTTTGAAGATTTTCCCTTCTATAGGGCCGCCTCTGATCTGTGTAGTATGGCCGCAGTTGTTGAGACGCAGGGTATATCCGTGTTTGAAGGCGTAGTATTCGATATGAAAGGGCTCATTGGTATCGTCTTGCTGCCGAAGATCGACGCGTCTGTTCTTGCCTAGCTGCATCTTTGGTGCGCTCGGGTCTTGTAAGTCGAGTATCAGAGTGACCCAGCTTGCATGGTGCTCGTGAACATAAAGGAATAACGCTGGTATACTGTTAGCTTTGTCTTGCCAGCTTGCTGATGCGGTATAGAGTACTTACAGTCATCCAAATCTGAAGCTGCAACACCGGTGCTGCCGGACGCTGAGTCGCCAGTGACTATCGGGTTAACGTTATCGCCCACTCTAGCTGCCGGAATAGGCCTCTTGAAGTCATCTTCAGTCACCCCCGCTGGATCGTGTGCCTTCGCGTACTCTTGAACAAACTCAAGACGCGCGCTTTTAGGCTCAGATCGCATAATGCTAGGTATACCCTTGACCGGGGCATGATAGACTGTAATCGGTTGATTCAGCTTCTCGTAATCGGTTACAACGCCCAGTGCAGAATGAGCCGCGTTCCGGGCTACCTCCACTGTCATTTCGGCGAATGGCCGGGTGTGGTCCCATAAAGAGCCCCACACTAAGAAGTCCTCGGTACCGGCATGTCTGATCACTGTGGTGCGGCCGTGGACGTTTGCAGGGTTCATCGTGATGTAGAGCCCGGCGATGCTGTCATGTAGCCAGTAATCATCTTTGGCGCCTTCTTCTGGGCCCTTTGTTTTGGCATCTTGAGTGGTATCCGATTCGGTGGTCTGACGTTCGGCGGTAATATGCTCGGCGGTTCGATGCTCGGCGTTCTCGTGCTCCATAGTGTTTTGTTCGGGGTTCTCCATACTGATAGGGTAAATCCTGGTTGAGGCGGACTGACCAGCATGAACTAGGCGACAAGGCGAGCCTCTTATGTCGTGAGGAGGCGCACAGCTTGCTCAAATCTGCTTTTCAGCTTGGACATGATTGCGATAGTCTTATTAGTACAAACAATTGCAAAGGCCGCATGTTCAAACCTACTGTTCTAGCAGATCTTCTCCCTCTTTCTCAACCTATTCAACGTCTCCATCACTGTCCTCCGCCGCGTCTTCATCCATAATCTTATCGCCAACCTTCTTACACTTCTTCACATTTCCCACTCCCACAATCCTCTCCAACGCACCCATGAACCGTGCAAAAACACCAGCATTATATTCCGCATGCCGTGCATCATGCGGGCCAAATGCCGTCCTCTCCCTACCGCCCAAAACCCCATGCTCGAAACCCGCATGCCACTTATCCGACGGAAGATGAACATGACACTCCTTGTACAGGACTTCCTTTCTGTCGATCATAGTCTTGAAGCCGCAATCGACAAATCGGAGGGTGCGGCCTTCTTGGAAGGAGTAGCATTGGATGGTGATTGGCGTTTGGCCGCCTGCGCCTCTGAGATTGATGACTTTAAGGTTTGTTCTGGCTTTTATGGGGTTGATGGTTAGCGTTCTTAATCGCTCGTCGAGGGTGAGGGTTGCGTAGCTCGTACGGTGCTCGAAAGCGTGGAGGTAGAGCGCTGGGGATTGTCAGTATCTTGGCGTGAGGCCATGCATGTATATCGGTATACTCACAGTTGTTTGTACCCACTGAAGCAGCGATAGTGGGTGCGGAAGCGATCGCTGCGTCGCCGTCGTCTTCCTCTTCACTTTCCTCGTCAGCTGGTCGTCCTTCATCCTGGTCGTCATCTCCGTCGTACTCTGAAGCAGACTCCGTCGTCATACCAAGGTTCTTCTGGCGTACATCCGCCCCTCCGCTTGATTTAGGGGCATATGGTGGAATCGGCTTCGCAAGATCCTCCGGCGAGACGTCCGGCGCATCGAGCGTCCTCATGTATCGCGGGATCCGTTGGTCGACACTGTCGGAGGGATGTATGTAGATGGTGGTCTGTTGGCCATCGATTGGACCACGATGTACGGTAATCGTCTCCTCCAGCTTTGTGGGTACAGCCAAGATGGTGTCGGGACCGTCGGTGGTTAGAAAGGCCTGGTCTTTCAGCATAGGAAGAGTGTCTGGCGACCGCTTCCATGTAGAGTCCCACACCGGGTACATGTTGTTGTCATCCTTGTCATGTCTGACTACGGAGGTTTGACCGCCGTCGTTATCGGGATCAACGGCGATGAATAGTCCTGGAAGCTTTTGTACGAAGTACTTCTGGAAGTCGACTTCTTTGACCTGGTTGCTTGTGCTGTCAGTGTTCTTGGAATCCATGTAGTGAAGGCTGAAGGCTGTCGTATCGGAAAACGAAGAAAGACGCTCGGAGAAGGTCTCTATAACCAGTAAGTACACCCAGAAGCTTGCTCAGGCTAATCATGATGCTTGTTCATGGATGCTCGTGATTAGCAGAGGAACTGATATCGAATGACCGACGCTCGGTCACATGTGTGACAATCATATCTGTATACATGATCGCAAATGCTGCGTGATAAACTCACCATCGATCAACCGAGCATGCTGAAAACACCACCCCCCTCCTCGACAATGCGCTTCAGCCCCTCCAGAAACTCCTCCCAGTCATCCTTGTTGTGCTTTGCAACTTCCGGGCTCCACGTTGGATACGTCTTACGATCTCGGTGTTTCTCTCGCCTGCCCCGCGTCGCGACATTCACCTCCCCATCTTCGTCCCCATCCTCATCCTCGTCTTCACTGTCAGCATCGTACTCCTCGTGCTCGAAGTCAGCTGACGGCGGGTATAGCGCGTAATAAGACGTATTCTTGATGGAACCCCGTTTCGGATCGCCTGGAAGGTTTCCCTTGATAGCTGCTCTGGTGATCGAGCCGCAGCTGAGGAACCGTACTTGCCAACCTTTCTTGAAGCGCTCTATCTCGATCTTTGCTGTTCAAGATTAGATTTTGCGAAAGGGAAAGATAGCAGGCATGGAACTTACATTGCGCGTGGAACCTGAAGTATTTCGGCACGAAGACTTCTCGTGGCAGGTCGTCGCCAGACATGCGCTGGTATACGACTTCATTGTCCTCAATGACCAAGTCCCACGTCCCGCTCCGGTGTCGCCGCGCTCGAGCATAAACATGTCCTGTAGTAAGTCAGCTCTCTAGGCTATCAAGATCCTGTTAGGGGCAAGCATACCATCGTGAGTGTTCGGTGTTGGTGGAATCAGTGAGACGCTGATCCTAGCCCTGTGAATTGTAAGTTTATCTGATGCGATAGTAACACAGAGAACATACTCCTCCAGGACCTGCGGTGCCAACGCTGGGTATACGTAGATGTTTACAGGCTCTGCGTTCGGTTGCGTCCAGCGGATGCCAATCTTCGTTTCGAGCTCATTGGGGACGATGAGAAATCCTGGAATACATATCCCACGTTTTTCAGCAACATTCACTGGATGTAGATGCTCAGGCTTCTTGTCTGAGTTCCACTCTTGTCGCCATGCTCCACCGTCATGACGATCGATGCACACCTTACCATGAAGGCTTGTTGGCTGAGTATAGATACCTGATCTTCCGGTCACAAGATATCCGTCGCTGATCTTGTCATCTACCAAAGTAACGTTTTGGTCGTTCGTCGTGGACATCTGGTTGAAGTTGCTAGGTTTTGGTATGCACTTTCTTCTCCATGGTGCCTGGAGATTTTATATTACCGTCGTCGCCCGTAGTTTGTTGTCAGCAGGAGTCAGAAGGGAATCGAAAGCAGAAGACATGATCGCATGGTATGATAGACCTGCCCAGCTGGAGAAAGCCCCAGGCGAGCTTAGCATCAGACCAAGCACACCGCGCACCTTCTGGACAGGACACCCTGCCTGTAGAATCATCAAACCTCATCATGTGATTATTGGCTCGAGATGAATCGTTTACGCGTAGCAAATATGGTGGAAGCGCCAGCTGTTGGTATAGCTCGTTCGATGTCTCTGCGATGGACGTCAGTAGCAAGTGACGTATCCTCAACAATACGCACAACGACCGTTCAGGCTGCAAATGTCGATTATGATTGTGGTTTATATGATCCTCAAGCAGTTACGATACCAATTCGTTCCCTCATCACGATAGCTTCCGGTTATCATCTACATTCTGCCGTATCGCAAAGGGCAGTAGACCTTGAGTGTACCTGGAGCGTAGTGCCAGACCGAGGGTGTGCCGAAGTCGCCCCATCATTCGATCTGAGGTGCGACGGGATCGCACTCTGTATGTCGGTCGTCGTAAGACGTGGCTGACGTTGCGTCTGGAGAACGACTCCTAGGAGCCTAATACATCGACTCGATGATGGCGCCGCGGGGTTTCCGTGTAGGCGTCCTTGCATTACGCTGCGTCGTCACTTGACATGTTCCTGCCAACATACCCACACCCCTCCAACCCATGGCGTATATGCCGACAACCTGCACAATATATACAATAGCGTGCCATCTCAAAAACGCCTTTGGGGTATCAAACGCCGTACAATGCCGTAAAATCGTGCAGGAAAGATGTATCATGTCGTCGTTTCGTCCATTCCATCTCAGCAACCGCGCTCAAGGATTCGAATGAACGAAACGTGCGCCTTGGCATGGCGAGCGAGCCTGCTTGAAAGCTTTTATCCTGCCTAGCATCCACCCAGACACCCATGAGCGCTCGCCTTCGCGGCTCTGGTGGTGGCCTAATCGGATGGAGTATCCGAGGCGGCATTCGATGCCGTCGTGTTCGAACTGGAGACAGCGGCCGTCTTTCGCGCAGGCCCGTTGGCATTTGTCGAAGGACTTGGAGGCTGTCTTGCCTTTTCGGTATGTGACGTCTTCGGACATATTGGACCAGTCTTCGGCTCTCTCTTGCAAGTGTGGCTCGATCATTGTGAAGAGCTCTTCGAACATGAGCGGCCGTTCGGGATGCGATCGCGCTTGTTCCCATTGGGAGAGTCGTGTGAAGTCGTCTTCGCCGAGGTGGTGCATCGTCATGATGGCTTCGCACCACTGCTCGTTGTCGAAGCGCATGCTGAAGGGCTTCTCGCCGTTGAACATAGGCCAGTATCCGCGGAGGGAGACTCCGCTCTTCTTCAGCACCTGCGCTAGCATCTCGTCTCCGCAGCATTGCTTCTTGACGTCGACGCCGAAGAAGTGTGTCCCGGGGAAGTGCTTGTTCTCACCAAACATCCTGCCCAGCGCCATGATCTTGTCCAGCGCCGCGCGCGATAGCACAAAGCCAGTCCCACCATGTGCGAAGGTGGTCTTCTTCTTGGGCCAGACGGGGGATCCGAAATAGTGGGCCGTCTTGGGGTTGAAGTTGGAGAGGAAGCGGTAGAGGTTGTCGTAGTTGACGTATGTATCCAGCTCCAGGAAGACATACCACTCCGACTCGGGCCGCATGTATGACGTCCACTCCATCATGGGCAGGAACTTGTACTTGTCCAGCCGCCACCCCTCCTCCGTCTTGTCCTGGGTGCTGTTCGTGGCCTGGATGCGGTCGTATACGTCAAAGTCGGGGTTGTTGAACTTGTACTCCGGGCGCAGGTGGGCGAGGGCGTCGGCAATCTCGAAGCCGTTGAGCGAGTCCTTGCGGTCCGAGAAGATGAGTAGATCCTGTTTGCACCTTCCCAGTCGGTTGAGATACAGCGGCAGCTGGGTCGCGACTTCCCCGGCGCCAATCTTCAGCACAATGGTGACGCGCTCCATGACGCCGGCGGTGAAGGGCGAGCACTCCTCACCGAAGTGCACCGGAGCGACGGGCGCGGGCCCAGCGGGAGGGGGCCGCTCCTGCAGTATGTCGTAGCCGCGCTCGCCCCGCCATATCCGGAAGACGAGCGACGTGAAGAGGAAGGTCACGAGGGTTATGGCGACGCACAAGAGGCGCAACGGCGTCAATCGCACCCTCATGGTGGTGGTGGTGCGAGACTGAGTCCGTCATGTTTGCATGAGCGGGCCTGGCGCGCGGAAATTGGCGCTAGTCCCAGCTCCAATCCGGCTAGCCGGCCGTTCTATGCGCGCCTCCGCGGGCGGCCTCGAACGTCTCTTTCCGACATCACCACATCACACTGACATCTTTGGAAGTATCATGGTAACACCAACTCCGATTTCAGCCCACGACGCTATCTTTTGTCCTATCTTTTGTCATAGTCATCAGTACTCACCACGCCTTCTAAATAGCCATCTTGACCTGCCAATCTTCACCCCCGCCAGACACCCGGAACTCAAGGGAGCTAATCTTCTCTCCATCAATTCCACCCCGGAGACGCAGACGTGTCAAGATCCCTCCAAAGTAGTCCACCCTGTTCCGATTGCAGGACGATATGTAGCGCGCAGCCTCTGGCTTCATGACTAATGTCAACACCCAATCCATCGCGTGCCTACGCACGCCAGACGGAGCATGATACGACACTGGCTGTGCGCATAGGGTAAGAGCATCCATATCTTTAAGCCACAAACCGAATCCCAAGAGTGACGGAACATAATCAATCGCCTCAAAAAGACTGATCGACCTATTCTCAATAAAGACCTCAGCTTTGGGGTGACCACGCAGCCACTCGCCTAGCCATTTGAGGTCGATACTGGTATTTGGTCCCCAGCCGTGATCGCGACTAAGTGCAACGAGTAGCTTACAGGCGGGAAGTGGAGCAAAGGCCGACGTATCACTATAGAATGTCCGGAGGAAGCGTTCTACTAGCACAAAGTGGATACGAGTCCTGACCGAGCCAAAGTACAAAGGCATGTACTCCGACCGAGTGGTTCGGCATGCATTGCCCAAACCGAACGCTGTCGACAGTCCGACGCCTGAGAGGCAGTAACCGTATATCCGGTTACGTAGTTCTGGAATGATGATTAGCAAAGTGCCGGCAAGCACATCGTTGTCACATACCACCGGGAAGATCTAGGAAGCGTTTGGGTTTCGAGATGTCTGAGGTCTTCTTGTGTGAGGAGTGCGCGTTCATTGATTCTAGAGCGGTGCTCGAAAGCCTGTTGCCCGACGTCTCCATGCCGTCAGGTACGATGCTATTGTTATCAAGGATTTGGAAGCGTGCGTAGTCGATTTCGAATGAAGAGTCAAGAGATATACGGTTGAAGGTATGGAAGCACGTTTCCAAGTTGTCGCCCTCGGAGGGTGTCATTATATCAGCGATGTGCACATACAGCTTTCAACAATGCCTTTCACCCGGCCTTTCGTCAATGGAGGGTCGAGTGAATGCAAAGTGTCGAATTCACACTTCCAGTACCGCTTCACAGCCTGGATTGCACTGTACAAGAACTTCTTCGAGAGTCTGTGTACTTGCAACCCTCTCATACTTTCACTGATCCAATGGCACTACAGGCCTAATTGGCCGCGGGTACGGCGAGTCCATGCCTACCTTGTCGTCACTCCAAAGTTGGCAAGGGGCGCAGTCCTCTAAGCATCGCCACGCTGCCTACAAATCGCGGCGCTCATTCTACCTTTACCAACACATACAACTTCTCAACTCGTCACGTACAACCGCTAGACTTACCGAAAGCCTCGAACACAATGGCACCCTCATTCACAGAGTAATTATATCACATTGCAACATTCTTGACATCTCGCTAACACATTCAAGGATGTTATCTTCCGCGCAGTTCACGTTTCTACTAGGAGGCACCCGCGAGCCCGTCACCGTTCATGCCGGCATCATGTCAAAGGTATCTGAGCCCCTAGACCGCCTTATCAACGGACCCATGAAGGAAGCGCAGGAGAAGTGCGCCAGTCTGCCCCATGTCGATCGCGAGGTCTTCCTTGGCCTCGTCGAATACGCATACCGCAGTGACTACAACGTCCTTCCCTGCGAAATTGACCCCAATATCGAAGTCGAAGTCGACATGGAGGCTAGACCGTGCAAGATCTTCGACAATTGGGTTCCTACAATAAGCGAAGAAGATTATGCCAAAGCAACCACTCCTGAAAAAATGTGGCATATGCCACATTTTTATCCAACGCCCTACGAGCGCTTTGTCGTCAAGGAGCAATGTCCATGCTATTATGGAGAAGATTGGGACAAAGTCGCCCCGCACATGAAAGAGCAACATGTAGGCCAAGTAAACTACGAACACAAGGACGTCTTCCTCTTCCACGCCAAGATGTATTGCCTCGCTGACTACTACCTCATCCCCGCACTGAAGGAACTCGCCATATCCAAACTCCACGTCGCACTACAACTATGCATGGAAGAAAAGTTCGTAACAACCCCGCAGCGGGTCGAAGATATCGTCGCCCTGGCTTCATTTGTCTACAACAACGACAACACTCAAGACCACGATACCCCTTCGCAGCGTGATGCCCTACGAGAGGAGGTACTGTGTTACATCATGGCTCAGATCCAACACCTGGAGCTGCAACCTGCGTTCCAGAAGGCGCTAGGTGGCGGGGGCCAACTGGCGATTGATGTGATTTCTTGTTTGAGGAAGGGACTGAGCGAGGGGGCGGAGAGGATTAAGGCTGCTATTGCATATAGGAATCTGGTGGAGGAACAACGTCTAGGACGAGGAGGCTACTACGCCCTACAAGCGAAGTTTGGTAGACAGTAAGGTTACGGGAGTAGATCAAATGACCATTTCCTTTTCATTAGTCCTGTAGCTGCTTAGCTATCTCCAAGGTTTGCACAGTGACATATGTCATTCACATGATACCCTTCCTGCGACTTCGTCTGTCGTCCCATCACGCAGGAGTCGGCTCATATCGCACCATCAGCGTCCGCGCCCTTCGTCGCGACCTCCATCTTGTCCTCCTTCTTCTCCTCCCCCTCCCCCTCCCCCTTTCCCCCCTCCCTCCCCTTCGGCCACCTAATCATATTCCACTCCCCACCACACCCCACAAACCCCGCATGCAAATACACCGCCCTCGCACTCGGCCTACTCTCCAAATACACAACCTCCCCCCTCTCATCCGCCTGCTTCAATGCCCACTCCATCAACCTCTTCCCCACACCCCTCCCCTGCCACTCCGGCCACGTAAGCAACGGCGCAAGATACCAATGCCGCTCTCCGCCCGTCGCCTCCCTCCTTACCTCATCGTCTTTGGCGAAGCGCTCGCTCCAGTTCTCGGAGGAGACGTGCGACCACATGAGATCGAGATCGGCGTCGGTCCAGTTTTGCGATTCGGCCCAGGAGTAGTGCGTCGCGGCGCTGCGTCGGAAGAGGTTGTGTACGGAGGGGTTGGAGGGAAGGGTCCAGCCTGCTATTCCTACGGTTTCGCCGGTGGGGGTATAGACGGCTTTCATGAAGCAATGATTGGGATCAGTGATGGCGGGGGTTAGTCGTTGGGCCATGCGTTGGATCCGGATTTGGAGGCTGTTTGAGCCAGCGGGCCGGATTTCTGGGGGTTCCTTTTTGGCCCACCAGTCTTCTGGGAAGCACAGGTAGAGACCTTCCGCCTGAGTGTGGTTGTTAGTATGATGGGATTTATGGGGTGAGAAGGTTGGGTGCTGGATGAACTCACGATCTTATCAGCATCATCCGGTGTGCATTTCTCTACACGCAACTCCGATTCCGACAGCCGCCTCGAGGGCTCTACGGGCATTGTCTGGAAGCCATCAGAATTATCAGTCGGCACTTTAATGAACTCTGCTTTTTGCGATGCCATGGTCGCGAGTGTTGTTGAAGTTGAACTTCGCAGCGTCGAGGCATGTGCAGAAAGAGGGGACCTCGGGATGTGACGACGTTGGCATTCCAAGGTTGAGCTACCTAGGCAGGCGCCCTTCAACACAGTTATGTAGACACCTGCGTGATAGTAGTAGCATTACGCCCTTTCCTAGCGCTTACTCGCGCGAAATTATCCGACGGAATGCTCAAATGCTCGCTGTCAATCGACTCATCCTTGCTCATGCGCGCCGGAGTAGACACCGACCGAGAGCTGGACTTGGGGGGAGCGCGAAGGCGGTGTCACGCGTTACCCGAAGCGGGCTAGATGCGGACGTCATTGCTCCGATCGGAAACGGAATGGAACGCTGCACCTCGACGTTGCACACCTCATGCACTCTTCTGCTTCGCAGGGGTGCTATCTACCGAATCCATACTATCCAACATTCATCGCGAACCTTCAAAGACCGAACACTTTCTTCCATTGAGTTCCCATATCCTGTAAAGTACACACGACCTCGGTGTACACCGCACTTTGGAGCGCTTCGCCATGGAGGTCATCGTCACAGGAAAAGTCGCAATATAGACATTTGCGCACGACTTGCAGGTACCGCGAGCCTAAAGTCGTGATCGAATGATGTTGTTCATCAAGCAGCTTTCTCGCGGCGATGATCTCACGGATTTGAGGCGATCCCTCCAGCTGCGGCGTCGTGCTATCCGTCTGAGCACATATCTCTAGTAGCGCGACGCCGAGTTTAGCTAGTGTCAGATTGCGGATGCCGAAGTTATGCTTCAGATCAAGCGAGGATTGTTGCGATCCAGTGTCCGGCGAGGTCGGATCTGGGAAGCGGTTGCTCAGATGCAAGCTGTCCAGTGCATTGGATACATTGTTCGCGTCGGCTTGAGATTGATCCGTGAAGTATGCTACATCTTGAAGCGTCCATGCTTGCGGCAACCAAGAGGTGGAATGATATTGGAGAACAGCCTCAGCCAGCTTTTGCGCGAGTGTGATCTTTTGCAGGATCTGGAAGCGTTGAACGAGGTTGTTGATCGGTAGCGCTCCTTGTCGCCGGCTGCAAGAAGGCACATCGTTGGTCGCGAGCTTGCTGGCGTCGTAGAACATGAAGCGGGTTGTTGGCTGACTCTTTGCGACTTCAAGAAACCCCACGCAGCTATCTTGACATGCCGATGTAGATGAGCGCACTCTCGTTACGTGACAGCATACACTTTTTGTTGTCTTTAGATCTAGCATGACGAAGGATTGGGCTTGTGTTGCTAACGTGTGGCTTGTTGGTGGTGTTCGAACACATTTAATGTTGTCTTTGGGATCATTGATTCGGACTCTTTTCTTCGACTTGGCTTTGATGGGCGGCGTTGGGGTCGTAACTTCCGACGCGTCGTTGATTCCACAACGAAACGCATTCGCTAGTGCCTGTGGAGGTAACGTTGGAGCCGTACACATCGCGAGGGATGTAATGGACCGAATTTGCAGCCATATTGGGACGTTGCTAGATGGACTACACGTCGTCGTTAGTCAACAGCGCTTCTACTTCCTTTCGGGCCGCGAAGAATATCCGCTCTGACATACTTTTGGAATGCCGTATTCGGCTTTGGCTGACAAGCGATGACAACGTCGAGTTGCACATTATCGTACTCGCTTTTGGCGTCGAGCGATAACTTCGCCTGGTGTCCACTGTGAGAGGTGTTTGTGCAAGACCACGAGTCGTGAATGGACTCTCCTAACTGTTGTGAGGCGACGCGGATCTGCTGGTAGCTCCTTGGCACGGCTTTGCGGATGATGCAAGCCGAAGGAACATTGCGACGCTTCTGCATTTTGCGCCTCTGCTTACACAACTTGCCCAGCGACTTATTCCATCTGTCCAACGAATCAAGCTGTCGGAGGTATTCATTCTCCTTGCGAGCTGTATTGAACGCGTTCCAAAGCTTCCGTGCGAACTCGTGTTGGGACTGTTTTGCGTTACCCAGGCTATTCTCGAGCTTGGACAGGCTCTTCCGTGTCTCACGGAGGATATCGCGTTGTCGCGTCGCGATGCTCTCGCATAGCTCGTAATCGTGCTGCATCAAATCTCGCAGCCGCTGTTCGATCTCCTTTCTTTGTTCCTGCCAGCTCCTATGCGTCGGATCCTCCATCATTTCAGAGACATCGCTTGGATGGGCGATGGCAGCCTGCAGCAGATGGCGGCATTCGTTGCTAAAGTTCGCTGCTGCTACTTCGAATCTCAGCTGGATGTCGTATGCAACTTCCGCGTGTCGTGAGAAGGTCGCCAATGTGCGCTTGGCCGTGCCGTATGACTTCAGAATCTCGACAACAATGGGCACAACACCGAAAACTAGACCTGCGATTTCGATGCCGGACATGGTGTGAAAGATGAGTCTCAAAAGACATGGGAGTTGATGAGTCTCGGGATGCGCACTCTTCCAAGGTTGATTGAGCGAGGCGCAGTTTGGCCCCCAATGCGATAGGCGCATACCCCTCCAATGCGCAGCCCGTTCACGTGTGGCTGCTCAGCCGTGTCAGCATCCTGGCAAAAGCAACATGATCTCTCTCAGCTGGTGCGCATGTCCTAATCCATTGTCTTCCCGCCTTTGAGCATCTACTGACCGTGCCCGCTGGTAGTCGGCGCGCATGCTTCCACCAAAGAACCGTCGTAATGCATCGGCTGCCGAAGAAGGCGGCTTGGTGAGGGAGCCCCGGCAGGCTGAAATGGAACGCACGCAAGACACCTCGTCGTCTCCGGCGAGTGAGCCAACCAATTCGCCTCCAACACAATCGCCGGCAAGGCCTCCGGGCGCCCATACCTTCTCCAGTTCTGGTTCAGAGGACCACCTACCGGTCCCTTTCGGTCGCGCAGGCAAAATCGCTACTCCGGGGGCTTTGCCTAGAGTTACTTTCACCTTTTGGAAAGATGAAGGCTGCCACTGTTATCAAGTCGAGACTAGGGGTGTCTCCGTAGCTCGTCGCGACGACAATCGTATGATCAACGGCACAAAGCTGCTCACATTGGCTGGTATGACAGCAGCACGCAAAGGCGCTTTGCTGAAGAGTGAGAAGACTAAACACGTGGTTAAACTCGGGCCAACACATTTCAAAGGCGTCTGGATTCCGTTCGAGCGTGCCTTGGAATTGGCGAACGCGGAAAAGGTCGTCGACTTGCTATATCCCTTGTTCGTGGATGACATCGGGTCACTCGTATATCAGACTTTGGATCAGAAGCTCACGCCTTATATCGACTCTCAACCCCAATTCGAAAACGTGAAGGAAACGACTGGGAGTAGCAAAGCTATACCAGTTCACTTTTCCTTGAAGAAAGAGGAGGACGAGCATTCACAACCGCTCGCCCTGGACACTGTGCAACATGTCGAGCTCCAGGAGCTAGGAATTCTTGGGTCACTATTCAGATCTCTCACAGAGACGCTGGGACTCATCATGAAGGAGTTAAGGAGCCAATCTAGTGATGCTGAGCATTACATTTCTCTAGAGTCAACTTGCGCAACTTTGTTATTCTGGGGTAACGATCTTGGACTGCCGCGAGGCGAGCTCGACGATGTGCTTCAGGGCTCTCCCCAATTGCGCGACACTTGCCTAGCCGTTCTTGTATCCATCTCTCGATTTGTGAGCACTTGTAAGTGAACTCGACTCATACCACTGTATCGCCTTAGCACTAACACGGGTCAGCTTTGATACACCTTGTGATCAGTGAGCATCATCGAAAAGAGATTTTACAGTCTACCGATTTTGCGACTGTCCTGGAACAAGTCACGGACATGATTGGTCGACAACATGATTACGCTTATCAGCCCGAGCAAGACGCGGAGACAATGTGTCAAACCCTCCGTACGAAGGTCGATACACTGGTCATGTTGGCACCCAGCCTGGAATCACCGGCTGAAGAAATTTTCGACGAAGAGAAGCCTCGTACTATCCAAGACATCGGAGAGACCCTACCGGAACAGGCCTACGCTAGCAGTGTTGCAGAAAAGTTCCCTTTCGCTCCACCAGAGATGGTAGCCCAACTTGGGAGGTTAAACTGGGATCGCTATAATCACATTCTTCGTCTGCAACGGGAAGCAATGAAGCAGGAGCTTCAAGAGACCACTCTCGAAAAAGCGAGAACCATCTTCCACGACTCTGGTCTGGGTACATCGGTACCAGCACAAACAATTGCGGGAGTAAAAGCAGAACCTGTTTACGAACCCTCGATGATGTCGAGCAGGGCTGAGGCAAGTCACAAGCGTGTGCCACCACTGCCAGCCCAAGCGCGGTCTGGCGAACCTTTCATATGCGAGATCTGTGAAAAGCAGGTGCGGTTCCAACGGACCAAAGCATGGAAGTACGTCGATCTATACAATGCCACTTCAATCACATTAAAGCTAATCATGTCCCTTTAGGAAGCATGTCTTTGAAGACATTCTAGCCTACGCTTGCTTCTTCGCCGAATGCCACACCACTCGCGTCTTTTTTGAAAACGGCGATGGGCTAATGAGCCATCTACAAGATCAGCATGGCATGGACGTTCGAGTCTCAGACGTTACATGCCCCTTGTGTGTTGAGTTTACTTCCAGAGACCGCGATGTTTTATCGCTCCATATTGCGCGTCATATGGAAGAAATCGCTCTTGCGATACTACCTTCCGGTGTTGATTCTGATGACGAGTCAGCAGACGGCTCAAGTGACCGCAGCATTGCTCGGTCTGACGAAGACGACGTGTCTTCTTCGAAAGCAGACGGCAACGATAATGGATCGTCTTCAGGTCCATCGAAACCTGGAGGGATGAAAAATATTAAGGCTTCGTTCCAGAGGCATGGGCGACGTTACCAAAAGCAGACTAGTCCACAGTGGGAGGCATTCGAATACTCTCGCGATGGCGTTGCGACAGAATATACCGTCCGGCGTGACATCGAGACAGTTGACATTGAGAGTTTACCTCTTGAATTCAAAAGAGACAACTGCATCTATCCTCAGGCCCTGGGTCCAAGAGATCGGTACAAGGGTGTTAATCAGGACGATGAGAAGCTGTTGAATGCTATTGGCTGGGCGCTAGCCGAACTGAATCCATCCCTTCAAGGTCGTCGAGGTGTACTGCAAAAAGCAGTGGAGGTTATATTTTGCTCATTCAAACCGAGCGAAGCGCATACTGCTGGTGTTCAAGAGCAAAGAACAGCACCTATATCGTTCGTTGAGAGCTCAAAGGAGGAACGACTTTGTGACGCGTGCAAAAGGACGAAGGGTCGATGCACGACACACGGAGGCGATCACACTCAAGAGCGTAATATCAGCCTTCGTGAGCTAGAGTACGAGCCTCCGGAACCGTAAGCAGCGCTAGGTGTAACACACAAACAGGACTGAATCTTAGTGTCCGCAAAACCTGAACCGGGCCCGACAGAACGTTCTGGTTCTCTATCCGGGAGATGACCATGAGCTCGCCAAATATATCTCCCAATCGCATCTACTCTGTGATGAAGCTTCGTCAATCATTATTTCCTCCTTGTGGCAAAAAGGCCGATTTCTGCTTCTCATTCTCTCATGTGCCTCGGCCTCGAGAAGGCGCGTTTGTTCATGTTATTGCATGGCATCAATTGTATCCTATGAAGAGATTGTGGTACCATAGCAGTTCTATTCATGAATCGGCTTCGAGATTGACAGAATACGCATTGGTTTGCGTACGGGTCAGAAAATGATCGCTAGCTCGTGCATACTACGAATCGTTGGAGTTGATATGAGCTCGGAATGATGCAACAATTACCGTGTCATAACTCCCTTTCCAAGCCACCTGCTGAGGTATCTACGCGTACTGCCTCCCCTTCCTCAGCGGCGCAACATCGCCATTCAACCGCCCAATCCCCAACCTCCCGATCGCATTCTCTCCCTCCACATCCCCAAAACGGATGCGCACGTGTCGCATGAACCGCGATCGATCCGCTGCATCGAGATGCGTCCCCGTAGCGGGTAAAGCCACGTAAGGATTATCCCTAGTCGCCAGGCTGGAGAAGTTCATGAGTATATCCGGGCCACACGAAAGCCTCGTGCGGACGTAAAGAGGAACCACGCTCGCCATGATGAGAATAGTCGAAGAGATGATGAGCGCCACGACCCATTGGTAGTGAGCGTGAAAGACCTCGACGTTGCTGCGTTTTGTGCCTGTCGTTGCCCATGTTCTTGCTTGACTATAGTGATCATAGTTCCACGTAGATATTTGGCCCGCCCCGGGGGACTGCAAGGTACAATTTGAAGTTCTTCCAATGGGACAAGTGTAGATGTTTGGCCCAGTGGAGCTTATCAGTTGGCTGCCGTCCTGGTACTTCCAAGCGATGGATTGGTCCAACCAGGTCGTGTGCTCGTTGAACGCGCCAGTGAAAACGCTTTTGCCATTCATGGTTGCCCAGTATGCATTGAGCATTTGCCCGATTCGTACTCCAACTGTTTCAGTAGGCAGATCGTCCAGCGTTGTCCGTAATTGGTTTCGCGGGTCTCTTGGGTCCTGGACGTAACCTTCGGACAGTAGCCCCGATGACGACTCGATTGCTTTCTCCCACATGGTTTCATTTTCCCGATAGATCAGTCCTAGTTGGGTGTAAGCCACGGACGGATGCTCGAGGAGAGAGCGGCGAACATGCGATGCCGAACAAGTGGTGTGTGTGGCACACAAGACCTCGACTTCAACGTACGCTGTTTCCAGAGTACAAAGGAATGGCTTATAATTCGATTGAGGCTCCGCTCTTGTTTTCCAGACGGAACTGAAAGGCGTTAAATCCTCAGCTGAACGTCTGGATCGCTCCACGGTGTTCTCGGTCCAGTGTAGGTTTCCGATCCAACTTGAGTGATCAAATCCGTCGTCCGGGAATGAAGCACTGGAACATATGGGACGGAAATACATGGCCTCAATCTTAGCTGCGTAGTCGGCGTAATCTGGCGAGTCTATTCCACTCATCGGCACGCCAATGAATGAACTATAAGAGTCGCCCGTGCCGTTGTCGGTCGAGTACCAGCCTTCTTTGTCGGGACTGGACGTGCTCTCATAGTGTTCGATTCTGGGTATCTTGGCATGGCCCCATGCATCACGCGGAGAGGCTTCTTTGGTAGCTGGGCTAAGAAGGGCGGCTACGTAGAAGCTGTTCAGAATCGACTCGGTCGTAAACTGGTCAGGCGCCCACATACCAGGTCCGGGTACGACATAAGTGTAAGTTGTGCTTTCGGAGTGCTGTTTCGGACCGAAAGTTATCTGTCTAAAAGACGATTGACCACCCACAGGAGATAGCATCCAGATAGCGACCAAGCCCAGGCCTACGTAGCTGACCGTCCGTAGGTGGAACTGTGAAGCAACAGTACTAGTGAGAGATGTACTGCCAGCTAGTATGTCCAGGGTCGATATACGTTCGCCTTTCTCAAATCTCCAAAGCAGAATAGCATGGGTGGCTCGCCCAACAACCGAAGCAAAGAGTATGGGATAGATCGTCGGGCCCTGAATCCAGTAAGTAGCTTGATGGCGAGATCTGGAAGTTTTTGACTCACCCAATTCGAAGCCTGCTCGAATCTCCGAGCTGCTCGTTGATGAGAGCTTGTTGGCTTCTGATCGAATGAGAGGACCAAGATGGCGAAAACGAAGAAAGTAAATGAGATCGCCAGTAGTGATATGTCGACAACAATGTACCAGATCAGTAAACTGGTAGAGATTTCGATCGACCGCGGTGACGTTGGCCAGCCTTGGAGGGCTCGCAAATGCGTTTCTTGTGGCACTTCATCGGTAAGCACAGAGCCTGGAGGAGTGCTGCTTTTGTCGAGCTTGTGTGCGCCATCGGTGCTAGCTTCTGAGTCGAGAGGAAGTGGGTCGTCGCGGTAGGGGAAATCGAGTATTGACAAGTCGGTACTGACTTGCGACTCGAACGAGAGCCGTCCGTGGCTGAAGATGGAGATAGGTGTGACCTCGGAAGTGCTTTTCTCCCGTGAAACGTTTTGTCTAGCTGCCATGGCGGAGAAGCGAGTTGAACAATCCCGATGATCCCAGCATATGTGCTGTGACGCGAGGGGCGAACCGTCTACAAGCCGGTGTATTCATATTGAGAGGTCAGACTGAAGGCTGAGCACGTGCGGGCTGCATTGCTGTGGTGTAACATTGCGTCCGACAAGGGTTCAATTACCCTGCGAATCCAAGAGCTGCATCATCTCTGACCGATTGCTTGGCTTGTGGTGAGTATTACACACAGCCTCGAGGGACTGCTGCTGACGAGTGGTAGATAAGGTAGAAGGCTGTGCATTCTACCGAAGGCGTTCCATGCCAATGCGACAACGCCAATCTGCTGTAAGCTGACAGACATAAACCTTCAATCGATCGTAGAGCCGGCACGTTGAGGCGGTACCGAAAGAGGGACGGACTAGTTGTGGTGGTGATGATGGTGATTGGATCCAGGTGCCGACCGGCCTCAAGCTTGAGCGCCAAGCTTACGGGTTCTTTGCGCGCCAGTGGCTCTCACCACCTGGGCATCTGCGCACTTTGCTAGAAGATGCTGTTGCGCTATCATATATCACTGCGTGGGTTCAGTGTAGCAAACCGTAAAAGTAGGGAGTAAAATGCGTTGCAGCGTCGTGATTTTCCGGCCTTATCACGTGACCCCTGGCATGCCGACGACCCGATGATCTACCTAGGTAGCCTCTTCAAGCCTTCGCTTGTTTGGGCAGCTGGATCGCCGAGCAACACAACGCGTCCTATCGACTGCATTCAACTCACTATCATCACGACATCGTACCACTCGATTTGTGACGTTCGGGTACAGATTGCGCTCTCACATCGTGTCGCAATAAGATGGTGACCGATATTGCGGACGACGCGAAGCCTCCTGCCAGGCAAGAGATGGAAGGCTGGTGACGGTGGGCGCGCGATAGGCTCCGTCTGGCCCAATAACACCACGAATACTGTACACGATATGCAGCCCCCGCATCTCTCTACAGCCTGCATGCGAATCCCGCTGCTTTCAGCTGAGATTGCTCAGCTCTCACCGCAGATAACATGTCGTCATGTTCCGGTTTGACGCTGCGTTCATCCTGGCCTTGTTTCAACATCGATACCAAATCATCATAGAACTTGAACAACTGACTACGAGCACTGACAACCAAATCTTGAAATCTGACATATGATATGGCGATTGGATGGGGGCCTCGGCTTGTGGCACTACTCCTTTTGTACGGTTCGTCGTGGCGTTGACAAGCTCTGATCTCTAACCCCGTGATCAGGCTACTCTTTCAGATCATCAGTATTGCAAGCGACCTGGTGTTTTTCAAAACGAAAAAGAACTTTCCGCCAACAGATATCGACGACCCGATACCAAAGCGAACCCCCGCGTTGTTCTCTGGGCGATCGTTGACCAGCAAAGTGAAGGACTTTTTCAAGAACACTGACATAAGCCGAGTTCTCGTTCCGCTCCTCTTTACCACACTGAGTGCAGTAATAGTATCTGTCTTATTCTCTGGTACAGGCAACACATACCGCGACACGGGAAATGCTTGTAGCACGAAGCCGGATGCCGACATCAGTGGCGTCGGCGTACGCGCCTCTATTTGGGGACAAATAGGGATGCTGATCTTGATCAGTGGCTGCGGCCACTTCCACAGGAAAGAGACAGCAATCAAGGAAGTTGCAGGCGGTTTGATTCTCACCCATGTTTCCCTAGCGATAGCTATCATCGTGCAGATGTACAAAAAGACACTCACATCTGTTGATGCTGCAATCGGCGCAGCTGTCTTGGACGCCCAGAACGTCGCTCTACACATCCCTGTGGCGGCCAAACAGACTCTCGCAGCTCGATGGCAAGTGCTCATTCTCATACCGGCTCAGATATTGGGTCTTGCGTTTCTGCCAGTCCTGGTAATCAAGTTCATCGAAGGAAGCTTCACATCGGAAGATTGCAACTGTTTCGGCTTCTTCTGGTGGTCCCATTTCAGCGACTGTGAGGTCTTCCCCAGCAGCGAGCTTTCTCTCTTCTGGATCTACTACTCGCTCCGATGGATTATGTGGGCCCAGGCGTCCGTTCATTCCATATATAACGCCGAATGGTTCCACAGGTCTGAGAAGGAGGGACGCATTCCGGTTTCCTTCTCAGAAAATGGTTCAGAAGATGACTCAAAGGAAGCTAGAGTCCTTGAGAGGCAGCAGTTCCCGGAGCGAAGGTTGGAGAAAGCGACAATTCAGACTGGTCTTTTGTACAAGGAATACTCGGCTACAACGTCAGTGTCTCATACGACATATGCGCTTTACTCAATCACATCGATGGCTGTTGCAGAGGTTACTATTCGAAAGTACAGCCTTCAGCCTGTTTCCCAAGTGAACTCGATCGGCCAAATCATTGCTATGGTTGTTGCGCTCGCTACCTTCATTCGGGTCGTTTGGAGTTTTCAGAATCTCTACAATCGGTTCGAAAACAATTCTTTTCCGGACCTGGTCTTTAATCCTCGCACATCATGGCCCGCATGGTGTTGTTGCGTCGACTCAAAGGAAGATGGCACGGGGGGTGGTCAAGCCTCGACCTCGCCAAAACAAGATGGAGAAGACTCTCGGAAAGAATCAGAAACTGATAGCGAACATCGTGGCTCTGGAGGACGGCGATCTCCCCAATATGCAGCGCCGATTTCCCCATCCAAACGTGAAGCGGGTGGTCAGCCTGATCAATATCTCCAACAATACCCTCAACCACCCGCTTCGCGCAATGGCCGGCCATTGTTGGATGACACTGATAGGCCAAAGACGCAGCCATATTCATTCCTCGAAAAGGACAGCGGAACACAATACAATCTACCAGGACAGCCGAATACGCTACCACAGCGAAGCCATCCTTACGAGCCAGGATATCGATTCGAGTTCCGCCAGCCATTCCACCTAGATGCCGTAAAGCAGCTTTTCCTTCCTACTTTCACTCAATATTTGGAAGCCCGAAAAGAGGAAAAGGTTGCGGTTCCGACAAACGATGTTCCAACCACGCCTCCATTTGAGCCAACAGCCTACACCTTGCCTGTACAGTCACAGACAAGTGTCAGTAAGGGAAAAGCTCCGCTGTCGCTATCAGTCGAAGAAGCACCGCATCAAGCAGAGGTTTCGACTTCCGCCAGTAGTGAACACCCTGGTATAACCAGCGGTAAGCCCTCCAATTCGATTAGTGGCAACATGAAACTGGGGACAGACAACAGCAACGTGACAATCTGGCCACAAAAAGACCACGCACTCAAAGAATTACAGCCACAGTCTGCTACACGGCGTGATATGACCCCAGCATCGATCTCGACCCGTTCTGGACCCCAGGAACATGAGCCAACAGCCGCTAAAGAGCCCGAAGAACAACAGCCAGCATCCCTTAGCTTCCCAATACAGACACCAGAGGAGGAACTACCAGAATTCTCGAAGGCTGGTGCGGCTGCAAAATCTTTAGAACCAGTAATCAGTTACCAAGGATTTGATGAGCGCCAAGGTGTACAATATGGTGTGCCGCAAGATAATGGCTCTGCACACACAGAGGAGAAAAGTCCACTGCCACTCTCGATATCTTGTCCGTGGCGAGACTCTGCTGATCCAATTCCGTCAACTTCGAATCTCACCGATATAGGACTTGGGTCGAAAATAGAGAACCCTGGTATCGCAGACCAGTCAGAAACTGGCGAAGGACCGCAGGAACCGGAGGCTCGGTCTGAGACAGGTCGCGCATCAATCAGAAGTGTTGATCCGATCGACACGGAAGACCAAAAGACGGAAGACCATTCCACAACCGCTCTAGATTCTGGGGGTTTGGAGCTAGAGTCAGCGCATCTCTCGCTTATTGGAAGAGAGGAAGACCTACAGGAACAGTCGAGACGAGATCCATCGGCACGTCCATGGGGCCTTGTCACAAGTGATCTACGAGGAGTTTCCTCCAGAGAAGTTTCACCCGACGACCTTCATCGCGATCCTCCCGGTCTAAGGCTCAAGAGAACGCGGAAACAACAGAGCGATACCGTCTGGAAAGACTATTCCTCATTTCTCCGACACTGCCTCACCTTTGAAGGACATGGGGAGCATTCTGAAACGAAAATGTGCCACCAATGTGCGAAGTCTAGCACATTTTCAAATCCCGCTCCGCAGTTTTTTCGTTTAACAGAACTCGCCAGGCACATCTGGGACGAGCATCTGCACAAGGTCGAGTGCGATCCGTCATCGCCATCACTACCGCAAGCAGAGCAGGGCAAAGGGAAATCGGCGGAGGCTTCAGGACTTGGACGCAGCGAGTGTATCGACGATGGAAGAGTTCATCAGGGGACTGTTATCGATCTCAGCATCTTCGAGCCCCATCCATCAGGCTTCAACAGCTTAGCTTTACACTAGAAACACCGCCGCGTCTTCTCCAATCCTACTTCTTGTCATTAGCACACTTCTCGGAGCAACGTACACGAAAGACGCACAAGATACGAGAACACATGGAAGGGATTGTATCGCATGCTTCAAATTAAAACTTTATTTGCAATGCAATGAAAAGAACCATTCCATCTTCCAATTGGAGTTCATCAACCCAGAAATGTCGATTCGGTAGCCATGTTTGAACCCAATCGCCGCGCCTTCCACGCAGTTAATCTTACACAAACCCCCCAACTTCCACTTCCACATTCACTTCTTTTGAGAATCCATCGCCAGAATCCTCTGATAAAACTTGTCGAAACACGCGTCAAAGCCAATGTGGTCCGAACGCGTCCCCTCATCCCCGCGACTAAAGATAGCATACTAACGCTTCCTCTTCTTCTTCCCCTCATCCTCACTCCCCTCAGCCGCAGCCTCCTTATCCTTCTTCGCCGCCTTCTTATCCAACTCATCCCAGCTCTCCCCTTCGCTAAACTCATCTTCACTGCCCTCATCTGACATCTCCTCCGAAGCGTTCTCGTCGAAATCCGATTCGTCGGAGGACTCATCTGAGATAGCGAGTTCAGACTCACTAACCTCAAACGCAGACTCCTCCTCCTCCTCGCCATCGCCCTCGTCGTCAGTTTCGTTAGAGAGGAAACTCCATCCGCCGTCGGCGAAGAACTGGTGCGGGTCCGACGTAACGGTTTTCATAATGGTGGCCCAGTTGAGGTTGAGGGGACCCTCAGTGAAGGGGATATCGACGCTGTCGAGCCAGTCCTTGACGGGATCGAGGGACTCGACGGGAATGGTGTTGATGTGAACAGGAGGCCGGTTATAGTCCTTAAACACAACGACCATGTCGAAGTTCCTCAAACCAAACTGTACGCGTTCCAAGTGTACGATTTCGATCTCGGAGAGGGTGAGGCAGGTAAAAGGGGGTTCGGTGAGTTGGACGAGGCAGTCGGTTGTGGGTTGGACGAGAACGGAGGAGCGGGATGGGACGCCGTTGAAACCCAACTCGCGGTACGGGATATCGACGCTGACGTTTTCGTTGCGGGCGGCGTCGGCGATCTTCTCGGCAAAGTTCTTGAATTCCTTGTCGAGAGCTGCGCGGCGGCGGCGCTCTTCTTGTTCTTGCTCGAATTCTTCTTCGTCGCCGAACTTGTGGCGGCGCTTGCGGTTGCCTGTTTCGTCGAATTGCATCTCTGTGGCTTCGCGGACGAACTGGACGTCCTTGGTCTTCTTCTTGCCCAACATTATCGGGTTCTTGAGGTGGACGTGGATGATGACGATGAGCTCGTGTTGTGAGGGTTGGAAGAAGAGGTGCTTCATGTTGCTGAAGAGGACGTCGATCTTGGCTGTGCCGTTTCCGTGGACGTAGCGCAGACCGTTTTGGTGGATCTCGACACTTCCCGGGATGCGCTTACCGTCGAGCGCGGGGCGGATGAAGATGAGGTCGAGCATGTGCGGCTTGCGGGTCTTGAGGGGGATGAGCTTGTCTTGCTCAACGACGTCTTCCATCTGCTTCTTCTCCGTCTCTCGTCGCACAACGTCCTTCTTCAGCTCTGTGATGTCCTTGGTGATCTGGTCGATGCGGTCGACATCGTGCGACTTGAAGGTCAGACTACGAATGAAGTGTGCGTTGGGGTCTTCGAAGGGCTGGTCGTCCTTCCGGCCAACACCTTGACCTGGTGAGAGGAAGTTGATGCGGAGAGATGTGAAGTCCGCTTCGGGGGTGTGCGATGCGTTCTTGATGGTGTGAATGTGGAAGGGTACGGGTCGGCCCATGATCGGCAAAAGAACAGTGAGGTTCTTCTTGTCGACTACAATCTCCAAGTTGGCGACTGAGCTGGGAAACTGGTTGTCGCGCTTGTAAGATTCGAATTTCTTAAACTTCTTCTCTTCAGTGCCGTTCAGCGACTTTGCGCCCTCGCTGTACTCGGCAAGACCCTGCTCCTGCTTCTTGGCGTGCAGCTCTCTTTGATGCTGTCGCCGTTGCTCTTCCTTCTCGGCATCTTGGTTTGTTGTTCGCTCGTGGCGTGTGCGGGTCTTGGTGATGTTCGTCTGGGCGATCGCTGGGCGCTCTTTCTTGACCTTGGGCTTAGCCTCCTCCTCTTCGTCATCGAAGAAGAACGAGACAGCGTCCAGATCTGAGGTGGTGTCCTTGGTGAAGACTGCGCAGTCGCCAGCGCTGACACGGACGGTGTCTACTAAGACGAGCGAATAGTTCTTGCTCTTCTTGTCTTGTGGCTTGCTGTTTTCGAGGTCTGACAAACCAGTCTGAACCACCAAGGTCATGCCGTCTTTCAGGACACGGGTGTTCTTGCCGCTCAGGAGCAGCGAAGAGTCCTTGTTCTCGGTACCGATACCGTAACCGAGGTTCTTGGGGAAGTGCTTCTCCCACTCAGGCTTCTTCGACTTGAGATGTGCGAGTGCCTTGTTGTAGACGTCCTTGGCCACAACGCCGTCCTTGATCGACTTGATGACCAGGTCGTGAATCGCCAAGAGCAGCTTGTAGGCAGTCTCCTGCTCCTTGTTGGGGCCGACCATGAATGTGCGACCGATCATGGCGCCGTATGTCTGGTAGCGCAGACCGAGGACGGAGATGATGACGCCCGCGTGCAAGTTGTTCTCGTCGGGTTCGGCCGCGAATTTGAGGTCGTATGAGCCGCCACTCTGGATGGTAGGCTGCAGGCACCAGTCCAGCTGCATCGAGTCGAATGTCTTGGACAGCTTCTGCTTCTCAAAAAACTTGGCGTCGTCAATCTTGTTGGAGACCTTGTCGGCGAGGGCGCGGTGGGAGATTTTCTTCTCAGAATCGAGGATGTCGGACATTTCTTCGACGAAGTAGTTGGACATGAGGGCGCTCGAGGCGCGGGCGGCGTCGCGGATGGTTCGCTAAAAGGTCAGTAATGCCAGTGCGGAGTTGTGCGATCAGACTTACCAGCTCCTTCTCGTCCTTGACGGACAAGGCGGCGTTGGACATGATGGAGGCCAGATCGACCTGGTCCTCCTCCTTGAAGCCAGCCTCGTCAAAGGCAGCCTTCCACTCGTTCGCAAAGGCGTTGTTGGCGTTGTCCTTCTTCAGCACCGCCACCTTCTTGCCCGCCTTTTTCATCGTCTCGAGACATGTCTGGAACTGCTTCTTGTTCTCCTCGGCGTCCTTGCCGCGCACGAGAATCTCCACCGGCACCTTGCCACCTTTGAGTGGTTCAAGGTAGGAAGCTATCCTCATTAGCAACTATTCTCATTTTGGGGTGAACTTGGCAGACTCACCCTTCTTCTTGGTTGTGACAATCTGGAGGAGGTCGGGGGTCAGGATGAAGAGCGTCGCGGGAAACTCGTAGCCTAGCAGCCATAGCTGGGGTCTCATCAGCTCACTGTCCGTTCATCACATGTCGATATGCGCAATCTTACCTGGAAGGCTGCGGGCTTCAAATATATGCCTGGCTCACTCGCCTTGCCCACAAGGGTCGCGATAGAGCTTGCGCCCTGAAAAACAGCGTCGCCGGAGCGCTTGTCGGCCTTCCACTTGGTGACGAGGGCGTTGAGGCGCTCGTGGAATAGCGCCTTGTCGATGACAATGTCGTTCTCCGCCATGGTTGAGGATGCGCTGAAGATATCCTCCAGGCGGTTTGGCGTAGCTGCGAAGGAGAAGGTGGGAGAGAGAAGGCAGCGATGAGAAAGTCGCGAAAGGATGATGCGACGCGAGGTACGCGCTGGGGGGCCGTGCGCCTCTCAACTCCACAATCATACTAGCGCCAACCTCACCTAGCAAAGCTCTCTACAGCTGGCATTGATAAACCCCACATCTTCCTAGGCAACACTTTTCAACGTCACGTTTTCTTCTTGTACATACTTTGGTCATCTTTTGTTGTTGTAGACTCCCACATTTTGGTCACGTCCAAAGTCACTCCCATCTTGTGACCCTCCCACGCGGCTGCCTCATCCACCTCAAAGCCCTCACCACCCCACCCATGCGTCTGCAAACCTCCCCAACCACCAACACTATGCGATGACGACCGGCTCCAGTCCTCGCGCTGGAGTCTCCCTCCGAAGCGATGCCTCCAATGACACGACGACCACTACGCCCGACGCCCCGCAGGCCCCCAACAAGGCACCAGCGACGGGTGTGCAGGCCGCTGGTATGCGGGCCATAGCTGCGAGGATGGTCGCCTTTTACTTCCGAGCACCCGTCAAAGCCTTTTTCAGGGGAAGAATAGACTACATGAGCTATGCGAGGGCGATCAATCCGCATATTGTTGCGGATGCGAAGTGGTCGTGGAGAATGACTACGCCCGCGGTCCTGGCGCATGCTATACGGACTGAGGGATGGGGTTTTATACCGAAGCAGGTGCTGCCACCACTGATGGCTAATACTTGGTATGAAACCTCTCTCTCACAAGCACGCCTCTACTAATACCCCTCAGTATCGGCGCCGTCCTCTACACTGCCTACCTGCACTCCCTCTCCGCTCTCCATGAGCCCTCCTCCTACCAGACCAAACGCGTCTACCCGCCCCCTCCACCATCCATAACCTTCACCGCAGGCTTCATCGGCGGGTCATGCCAGTCCGTCATCGCCGCCCCCTTCGACGCCCTGCAAACCCGTTTCCGCACCGCCGACATCCTCGAAGGCCGCCACAAGACAATGTGGCACTACGCCGGACACAAACTACGCTCCATCGGCGTCCAAGGCATCTTCGCGGGGTGGTCCCTCTCCTTCATGAAAGACGCATTCGGCGCCGCCGTCTTCTTCGGCACCTTTGAAACGGTGAAGAGCCAAGCCTACCTCGAGTTCGTGAGCCGCTACTACGGAAGTCGAACGCGCGACACCCTCCTCGAGAAATCCATCCCCTACCTCCAAGAAGACCACGACGACCGCCCCGTCATCCGCCCCCACTACATGCTCGAACCCATGTTCCTCCTCCTCGCCGGCGTCTCCGCATCCATCACCTCCCAACTCATCCAGCACCCCTTGACCGAAATACAAGACGTGCATTACCGGCGTTTGGAAGCCCTGGACTTCCAGGCCCACCAAGACAACAAGCCTAGTCATATCGTCCGCCGCTACTACCACGCCTATGAAGAAACGTTTGCTCAGTGCAAGGTTCTAGCCAAGAGGGTCGGCGGCTGGAGGAAGTATCTCTACAGAGACTTCTTCATGAGCACGATTAAGCAGGTTCCCAGTACCGCGGCGGGGCTTATTGTGTTTGAGATTGTGAGGCGGAAGTATAGTTTTGAGAATGAGGAGGTTATGATTATGCATGAGGATGCGAGGATTTTGCTCACTTGAAGAGGTGGGTGGTGTACGGGCGGGGGAAGCAAGACAAACAGTCAATATCCCGCATCCCGCATCAATTCCCGCTCGGGTGCTTGGGTGGGGTGTACGCGATATGGTGGTAGCACCTCCTATGTGGGACAAGACGAGTGACCTCAGATCATCTTAAAGGAAACTCGCCTTGTCTTACATAGGAGATTCCACCACTATATCGCGTACATGTCATCCAAACCTCCAGATTGGTTTCTAGCAAAACGATTCGAGGAGGAAGCGAAAGACCTGACCTCCACCACCCACCCTGATGGAGGAAGTGTCGTTTCTCACTCCCTTCCTCCCTCCCTCTTCTTAGCGTCTTAGTAGTCACCAATCCGGACTGTTATTTCCTCGCCCAACGCTCATGCTCAGCTTGAGTAAATCCGCTTCTTCGTTTCATACGTTCTCGGAAGTATAATGGGGGGTTTTGAAGTGAATTATCTACTTGGAAACCTCCTGTTACTTCTGAGGGAGTATGGGGGAACTGGTAACTGGCGCATCTACTCGGGCTGGGTATGAAAGTTGGGGTGAGGGCTGGACTGAGAGCGGAGAGGGCAGAGGTGGTAGAAGTAACAATCGGCGTCTCTTCCAACACTGCTGCTCAGCTTAAGTAGTAGATCCGGTCGTTTGTTTCATACGTTCTCGGAAGTTGCGTGATATTGTCGAAGTAGATATCTCTCTTGACAATGTCACGCTACTCCTGAGGGGGTATGGGGGAACTGGCGCATCTACTCAGGCTGCGTAGTAGAGCGTAGTGGGAGATTAGACTGAGAGGGAAGAGGGGAGAGAGCAGAGGTGCCCGAAGTAACTATCGACATCCCTTCCAACACCGCTGCTTAGCTTAAGTAGTAGATTCAGTCGTTTGCTCTATACATTCTTAGAAGTGGCAGAAGCAGTTTTAGAGAAAGATCCTTCTCTTAAGAAACTTCTACTACTTCTAAGAGAGTATAGAACTACTGGCGCATCTACTTGGGCTGGGTAGTAGAGTTGGGGTATCAGAGTTGGGGTGAAGAAGAGAGAAGATTCGTTGGGGTAGGGAACAGATGCTCGAAGTATCCGTCGGCGTTGCTGTCCACGCTGCTACTCAGCATAGGTAGATGCAGTCGTTTGTTGCTTTTGTTCTAAGAATGTAAGAAACAAACAACTGCATCTATTAGGGCTGATTAGAAGCGTTGGTGTAAGGGCTGGTTGACAGGAAAGGGAAGGATAGGGCAGTTTCGCCTGAGAGGAGAGGGGTGTTGTTCGCAGTCTGAGGATAGTTTGCATATGATACCCAGATACAGAATGATTACAGTCGTAGACTTTGTATATACGTGTAGAATTACAAAACTCGCATCACATTAAAAGACTATCACCATGAAGTGGCATCTTACAGACCAGATATCGGCACCTCAGCCTGATCAGCCACGCGCAAATCATAAGCACCAACCCAAACTGCTCCACTCACCCACCCAGCCTAGCCAACCGCTCAACTCTCTCACGTTCCCTCTCTTCTTTCTCCCACATCTTCTGCGCTTCCTCAGCCCTTTCCCCTAGCCTCCTTCCTATACCCAATATCTCCATACCGAGGATATACCACACGAACTTGCGGCCGAAATGCCATTCACCGCGGAGGAACTGTAATTGGCCTACAAACCACCTAAGCAGCGATAGAATAGGTCAGTACTGCGTAGAAGGATGAGGAAGTGGGATGAAGGATGAGTACAGGGGATAGTGGGTGACTTACTGCCAAAAGATCCCCCCAATAACCATCCAACACACCACGCCCAACTTCACATTCTGCTCATCACTCAGAATGTTCCACGCTTTACTCTTGATCATATGTCCGTTTGCTCCACTCGTCTCATTCCCTCCATTCCCTCCATATCCATCTTTCCCTCCATTCCCAGCCTGTGGTAGTGTGCGCCAACAACCCAGTCCTACGGTCATGGGAAGGGTTGTAGTGACGCCGTTGGGTGCGGTAAGAGTGGATGTTGAAATCTGGGGACAGTCTGGGTCCCAGATTATGGGTTGGGTTGGTATGGGGAGGGGTGCGGTGCCTGTTGGGATAGGAGGGGGTGTGGGTATAGCTCCGGCGTTTAGGTTAGGATTCAGAGACGTGCTAGAGGGAAAAGCGAAGGACACGCCGGATGCCAAGGAAGGAATTGTCGTTTTGGACTTGTGGGAGGATTTGGATTTGGATTTAGAGGTCGTAGTCGGTTCTTCCTCAGCGTCATCATCGGAGTTGGAAGTTGCGGATTTCGTGGATTTGGGCTTGTGGGAAGTGGTTGTGGAGGTATTGTCATTGGCGGACGTGTCAGCCTCGGACTCTTCATCGTCGCCGTTGGGCGGTGCATCGTCTTCTTCAGGCGGGGTGTCATTGGCTGCTTTGGAAGTGGGCGTAGCTTCCTCGTCGTCATCTACATGTTTTGTCTTTGAAGACGTTGCCTTTTCCTCGACATCTTTGAATGAAGTGAAAGTCGGTGTAGCTTCATCGTCATCTTCTACCGGTTTTGTCTTGGTGGATGTCGCCTTCTCTTCGTCGTCATCGGATGCGGTGGCCGTCGAGGTAGTGTCATTACCCGTATCTGTCGGTTTCTTCTTGGTGGATGTGACCTTCTCCTCAACGTCCGTAGATGCGTCGGTAGTTGGCGCGCTGTCATCTTCCTCATCTGCTGCAGTCTTAGTATGTGACACCTTGCTCTTCGTAGACGTAGGCGTCTCGTCATCTCCAGCCGCTCCTTCATCAGTCTCAGCTCCTTCGCCAGGTATCATTTCCCCATCAGCCGGTAGCTCTTCCTCTTCCTCGTCTCCGTCCTTCGCATCAATTCCTTCATCATCCCCATCCTTATCCTCCTGTTTATGCGCAAACTTCGTAGCAATGGCCGTCTCCTCTTCCACTCCATCGGTACCAGAACTGACCCCGGTAGGTTCATCATCTTCTCCATCGATATTGAAAAACCCCTCGCCTTCCTGCTCAGGCTCTTCACCAGGCCCACTGAAGCTTCTCGAATGGATGACTTTTGTGGGAGTCGCGGGGTACCACATACGCCAGAGTAGGGAAGGTGGTTTCAGTCTCCCGATCGCCGCGTTACTCGACGCTGTGGTGGAAGCTGTAGCAGTAGAGACGGCACCCTTCCAGCTATAGTCGGAGGTATATGTCATACTGTTACCTGTCGAGTGAGGATTCGATTCAGCCCTGAAACCTACCAAAGCCGGCGTTGGCGCTATTAGTATACCGCGTCGCACAGCCCCGTTTGCAGAGTCGGTCGTCTTTATCGAAGTCTGATCAGCAATGTGCGCGGTTGATGGTGGGTCTGGAGCAGTCTCTACAAAGCTCTTTATATACGAGTAAAACGAGTTTATGCTTGCTTCAGTGAACGGCTCGTCGGTAGTTGTGCTGACCGGAACAGCGGCTGGTGTGGCGTTGGACGTCGTAGATGTGTCAAGGTCAGCAGGGTTTGCAGGGTCTGCAGCTGGACGCCCATACTCCCGGACTGATGTTGCAGATTCGGGTATATCCTCAGTCTCAGTAGCTTCGGAAATCTTTGACTTTGCCTTAGTCGAAGGTGAGGCGCTTTCTTCGGGTGCAGAAGGGTCGGCGTTCGCAGCTTTTGACACCGTCGGTGTACCTGAAGCTTCGACCGTCTTCGAGAAATCATCGTCGGCTCCGCTCGCTGTGAATTTGGTCTTGTGCTTGCTAGACACATCAGATGCTGATTCCGAAGTATCCAAGTCACTGTCCGAAGCCGTTGCAGACGTGGACTTGTGCTTTGAAGACTTTATTGCCTCAGATCCACTGCTGCTGTCGTCCGCTTTGGAGGTCTTAGACACGGTCATACCTGTACCTTCATCAGTGGTAGCAGATCCTGACTCGGAGGCTGTTTCCTCCGTAGGTACATGTTTTGTCGACTTCGAAGTCTCTATCTCATGAGTAATATCGAAGGTGTTTAACGTAGTTGTCTTGCTGGTCGAGGTTGCGGATGTCGCTGATGCAGAGTCATCAGTGTCAGTTTCCGAAGCGGTAACTACCGTAGACGCGTGCTTAGATGACTTCGACACACTCTCCGACGTTGTCTCGCTCGGAGTAACCTTCGGCATTTTGCCTTCTGATACCGAAGCTATTGCTGTTGAGCTCCCAGAACCTTTGCCACTCGGTGAACCGTCAACACCCTCCGCGTTCTTGAAATGGAGGCAGAAACTATCAGCCGCTTCTTGGTGAACAGGTATAGCCACGACCTTTGTGGAATTTCGAACAGCCAATTGTAGCTCTCCTTTTGGCCCACCCTCCGAGTCCAGCTCTACCTCGCTTTTGCAGAACGCGGAGGCTGTACTGTTGGACATGAACACTGAAATGTAGCCTTCAGATGCGAGATCGATCTTGATATGGTAGAGGTCTGTGTTCCTTCTATTGACGATGTTTGGTGCGGGATGAAGGGTGTCGTCGCGTTTGGTGTCATCGTCGAAATGTACGAAGCCGACTTGCCTCGCGTTGAAACTCACAGGTACGCCAGTAACTGGTGATTGGGAAACGGTAGGCTTCTGTCCACTTTGTCCCCTTGGCCAAAGGAATGCTGTTGCCATGGAGGACGCGGTGTCCCCGTTCATAGCCGCGAAGATCTCATCAGAGACAGATGCAGAGGAGTCAGACACCAAGCTTTCGCTCCTAACATGGTGGTCCTTTAAGTTTGTAGACAGTCTCCGTACTTCCGTGTGGTAGATCGTTTTTGTTACGGTGGGTGTCGCACGCTCGCCGCGTTTGATGGGAGCTGCTAGGGCGAAATCGAAAGCCAGAGCATGCGTGCTCAGGGATAAGGTCAGTACGCTGACAAGGAGTTTCATGTTGATGCCGCGCTGCGGTAGTATGCAGAAAGAACAGAAGAAGTGGAAACCCAGATGCAATTAGTGCACCAGGTTCGGTAGTGATGCATTGTCATTGATGAGCATGAGCTCTGGTGATGTGTACTTATCTTGAAGCACGCGGCCCCTGGAATGAGGTTATTGGAATAGACTGAGTGAACAAACACAGCTGTGAAGATATAGAGCAGTGCCGCGCGAATGGTGGTTATACCGTCCGCCGCCCACGTCAGGCGCAAACTTCATGTGCTGGTGGAATGTCAATGTCGCGTAAAGTGCAAGCTCGTGACAGTAACGGTAGCGTGCTTCGCCGCAGTAGCTGGGGATCATCACGCATGATCTCTTCGCTCGAAATTGCGCGTGGTTCAGTGTTGTCTCCCATGACGTGATCTGAAGGTTCTGCGCGTAGAAGACGTGATGGAGGATGGAGTGACGAGGAAGCCGCGCGCCGAAGCCGAGCAGCTCGGCTTAGTAAGCCAGCACGGCACGTTCCGAGGTCACGCATCGTTATCCGAACATCAACCACGATTCCCGTCTTCCACACACCACAATTGAGCCGCGCATTTCCTCCGCGCAATGAAAACCAACATTATTCGGTATCGCCGGCAAAGTAGCAGCTCCAATTGAGCTTTTCCGATGAATTTCAGTCAGCAGTATAAATTGACTTAGGCACCAATGAACCCCTCAGTTCATTCCGACACAAGTGCCGAGACAGCTACCTGCGGTACGCGGTGATGCATCATATAACCACCGCGCCATGCTCCTCCAACGTCTCTCTCCATCCCGTCATCTCCAGCTATTGAATCGTTACTCTTCACACCTGTCTAGACGCACAATGGCCTCCCCCATCAAGCTCGCCGTCCTCGATGACTACCACAACATAGCAGCCCAGCACTTCGCCCACATCGACCCTTCAAAAGTCGAAACAACCGTATTCACCGACACCCTACCGTCATACGCGCACCCGAAAACATCCGATGCCGACCGCAAAGCCCTCGTTGACCGCCTTAAACCCTTCTCCGCTCTTTCCACCATGCGCGAACGCACCCCGTTTCCAGGCGAACTACTGCGCCAACTGCCGAACCTCAAGGTCGTATTTGCGACGGGCGGTAACTTCCAGAGTTGGGATCTGGATACAATGAAGGATATGGGTATTACGGTGTGCGCCGCGCCTGGCAAGGGTAGGACAGATGGGAAGGGTAGTGGCACGTCTCCGCGATCACTGCCGGTTAAGCAGGGGGGTGGGCATCCGACGACACAACATGCTTGGGCGCTTATACTGGGGCTTGCGCGGAACGTTGCTGCGGATGATGCTGTGGTTAAGGGTAAGGGTGTGCCGGCTGGATGGCAGACGGAACTCGCAATGGGTCTACAGGGCAAAACATTGGGCTTGGTCGGCCTAGGAAGGATCGGCGCACATGTCGCAAGAGTTGGCGTGCTCGCTTTCGGCATGAAAGTAGTTTGCTGGAGCGCGAACCTGACACAGGAGAAGGCCGACAAGCTCGCCGAAGAGTGCGGGCTGCCTGTGACTGGCGGAGGCATGACCGACGCAAACGAGAAGACATTCAAGGTCGTCACCAAAGAACAGCTGTTCACATCTTCCGACGTAGTAAGCCTACACTACGTCCTCAGCGAACGCTCACGCGGTATCATCGGCGCACAGGAGTTGGGGTGGATGAAACCAACCGGCCTCTTAATCAACACCTCGCGGGGCCCGCTTGTCGACGAAGCCTCATTGCTGGACACGCTCCGACAAGGACGCATTCGTGGTGCCGCGCTCGACGTGTTCGACATCGAACCTCTTCCTGCCGACAGCCCGTGGCGGGCCGAAGACTGGGATTTCAAAGGCAAGAGCAGGGTGTTACTCACACCTCACATGGGATATGTCGAAGAAGGTACTTTAACAACGTGGTATGAAGAGACGGCAGAAAACCTAGAGAGGCTGATAGAAGGGAAAGAGCTATTGCATCGATTAATCTAACCCAGTCTCAATTCTACCGGAATCCCCTTCCTCTGCTCTTCCGTCAGCTCTATCCCGAAAATCTCCTTCAAAGCAGCAATCCGCTCCTCCTCTGTCTTACAATCCCGTACAATCTCGCGGTCAAGCCCAATACTCTGCTTAACCCCGCCTTCAAAAAGCGTCACACTACCCACGATCCTCTCTCCCGCATCGTCCATGAGCATCTTCGTACTAGTAACATATCTCGTGAAGAAAGAACTCGGATTCGTAGACGTAAACCACGACATGATCTCGTAATCCTGCGGCAAAAACTCCGTCTCCGTAAAGCAATACACCGGCGTCCATTTTCTCTCACCCTCACCCTCACCCTCGTCGCTCTCTGGATTATAGCAAACGTCATAACACCACAATTCATTAGACCGGTCTCCATACGACTCCGCAATAGCGCGTCGCTGAACACGAATGAGCCTTGGAGCTATACTCGTCGTCTCGAATCCATCTTGCAGCGGATACGCCAGATTGGGTCCCATGGCCCCCATGCCAACGTCGGCGACGTACCAGCCCCCATCATCGAATCCGACTAGATTCAGCATGTGGTTCCAGCCGTCGTATGTGGCCGCTTGCTGCCGACGTACCTCCGCGTAAGGGCTCATTGCTCGCGACACGCGGCCTCCACAGTTGCGCACATGGAATCCGAGGGAGCGCAGAACGGTGGCGAAGAAGGTGTTGTTTTCCATGCAGCGGCCGCCGCGGCGCTGGGTTACTAGCTTGGTGTATAGGGCTTGGGGGTTGAGTGTGATGGTTTTGTGGGGGGAGTAATGGAGCTCGAGGTTCTCGAAGGGGATGTGGCTGGTGTGGTGTCTGGTTAGGGCTTGCAGGAAGGGGAGGCCGTGCTGTTTGGTTGTGGCTAGCGTTTTGTCTGATAGTATGGGCGTGTCTAGGTATTTCTGGGGGAGACGGATGCGCTGGAAGTAGTCGCGTAGTTCGGAAGTGCTGTAGCGTGGCTGCTCGTCGCCTAGTGGCAGCTGTGTCAGACGAGAGGGTACTGGAGTGTCTGGCATATTGTAGAGGGCTGTGGATCGACCGAAAATGGCGTGTGTTGACTTGGGTTGGAGTAAAATGCCGGCAATGAATACAGGTGCCTAACAACTGACCAGTTTCGTAAACAAAAGCGAGAGATGCGCCCTGTGTGTAGATTCTAGTCGCAGTGTCCAGCACGCCCATTACCAGCTGTCAGTGTTACCCGTGTTGCCCCGCACTTACTGCTGGGCTTGTTATCGGGCTAGCGCATCGCGGAACAAGCGGGTTTGACGCGGCTACGCCAGGTCCGGCTTTTGCATTCTCGACAAGGCTTCGCCTACGTCACCCTGCACGTCGTGGAACCAGAGCCAGTCAAATCGACCTTGCTGAAGGCGAGACAAGATCTTGCCCATATCGTCCCCTGCTTCTTCGTGTTGGAAGAAGAGCATACGAGCGACCTCAGCTGCCTGCTCCAACTGCTTCTGGGCGCGTGGCCTGCGTACTGAGTCGTACGCGCTGAGACCAGCAACGATGTTTGCTTCGCTGTTTGCATCTGGTCCCGATGAGTTGACAAGCTCTGACAAGATATTCGAAAGGACCAGAGCGTCCTCGACGCCTTGAGCAGCGCCCGCTGCCTGAAATGGCAATGACGCATGTGCGCTATCACCTAGAAGAGCCACACGGCCTCGGTAGTATGTCGAAGTCTTCAAGTGGTGGAAGAAGCCCCATCGGATTGGATTTGCCTTCGCCAAAAGTTTGCGGAAGCGGTCGTCGACGCCTGGTCCTTCGAAATCGGCCATCATGGCTTCATGTGAGACCGTCTCTGTCACAGCGTTGTCCAGGTCCCAGCCTTGCTCATCTGTGAAGCACAAAAGGTAGTTGAACTCCTGCAAGGAATAGCGGTAAGCAAGGGGACGTTTCTTTGGTCTTGGACATGGGTACTGACTTACCTTTCCCTCTGATATACGGTACGTTACTGCGCAGCGCTTATGACCAAAGTAAAATTTGGCTACGTCGGTCAGATCTCCTAGAATAGCTTCGGCATCCGCCATTGGAATGACAGCACGGTAGCAATATGCATCAGCGTAGACAGGCGCTACTTGGTCAGGAAATTGCGGCTTCAGGACATGCTCGCGGACTGTGCTCTTGATGCCGTCAGCGCCAGCAAGAATGCTCGCTTCTGCAACTTCTCCATCGGCAAAGGTAAGGACAAGTTTGGATGGCAGCTGTTCGATGTTGACGAGGCGCTTGTTGAACTTGACATGTTGTCGTGGAATAAAGCTGGTCATGATATCAAGCAGTGTCTTGCGATGCGCCTAGTGCCAATTAGCAATACTCGTGTTAATGGCGATGAGGTGGAGCACATACAGACTTGCGCTCGAAATCAGGATGGCCCCACGCCGACTTGCCGTACCATGCTTGGTCTTTGCCTGCAATAACAGATTAACAATAGGCTCAGCGAGAAGTGGTGTGGCAAAGAAGAGGTCCATACCCAAACCCTCACTAAGAAGCATGCCCTCAAAAAAGATGTCTTGTTTGTCGGCACCCTTGTTCCCTACGCAGATCCTCTCATACGATGGACGGAATTCAGGCTCAATTAGATCCATGGCTCGCATGCCATTTGGCGCAAAGCCGATACCAGCACTGTGATCAAGTTAGCAAAGGAAGCCTAGGTGAGGGGCATGGGAATGAGAACATACCCCACAGCTGAATATTCCTTGGCGTCCTCATAGAGGGTGAAGGGAACGGATTTCTTGTGCAGCGCCATGGCCAGGGCGAGGCCACCAATACCCGCGCCTGGATGGCCTGTTAGTGACATGGGATAGAAGATGGGTTAGTGTGCAGATATGCATACCGATAATGGCGACGCGAAAGTCGCTGTTCATGTTTCCGACCACGATGTACGGAACGGTGCTTGTGCTACGACTCTGGCGCGACGATGACGCGCAATTGGGAAGAGCGACGGACAGTTATGGACAACGATGGACAGGCGATGCAAGGATGCAGTAGGTAGGCCGCTGAGTGTATCGAGTAATTCATCACTTGGGCGGTGTCGTGGTGGCCCTGTTGGCTCGAGGCGTGGTTAGATGGCGTGCCGCGATTACCCCGGGTTACCTGGCACTAGGTAGACGCTACCACGCCCCGGACGGGAATAGCCGGACACGTGATATCCCGCCCGTGAATAATAAAGCGGCATGTCCAGACGCTCCCTATTGTGTCGTGTCTCTCACCACCACCATGGCCACGGCGCAATCGGGGTCAGCCG